ATACTTGCCCTTGACGATGCTATTAATGACCTTATTATATTATTAATATTATAATACCAAGTGGCTTACCTTAACTATATATGCGACTTACTGGCATAGATTGCGTGTTCACGTAAATATTTTCAGTTGGTTAGATTTTTTTTTGGCACGAAATATACATTCACTCAATAAGATACCCCTCCATCGTGTCAATGTTTAATATTGTAAAAGGAGTAGGAAATGTAAGTACAAGATGGGTAGATTTGATTTTTTATAAATTTTGTAAATATTTTGCGACCTTTTATGTTACCTTTTTTAATTTCACCTATCTCTTCACATATTTTGATTTATGCAATTTGTCTCTTATTTGACTATTTTACTTTTCTGATACCTAAAATAACAAGTATTCTATGGGCAAAAGGATTAAAAAAAAAAAACAAATGTCAATAATACAGTGACTAAACGGTAAAAAAATAAATTACTTAAAAAGTAAGTAAGATTGTAAAACGTAAAAATATTTATGTGGGATATTAAAGTTTATCCAAAACCGTTATCTCAATTTATATTATTAAATTGCCTTCCAAATCAAGGAACATGAACTAGGGAAACCAATAATCATTAGGATTTATATTAGAAAAGGGTAAATCAAATATGTTGTCGAATTTAATTGCATTAGTGTAGTATAAGCTTGTGATGCCTCTGCTAGGTATCATTGAATTCTTCTTTTGAGGATTGTGGGCATACCTTATCTTATTAAATAATATAACTTTTGTAGGAAAAAAAAAAAAAAAAAAAAAAACAAAAACAAAAACACAAACAAACCTGCATAAATTAGTCCCAGAATCTTTTATTTGATTTCACAAAGTGTGGACCATTTGTAGTGGACTTCAATTATAACAATTCAATATTACCTATTAAAATTCAAATATACTTAGATGAAAAAGAAAAAAAATCCTACATGGATCAAGTGTGGCCAATCATTTTAAAAATCACCAAAGCTATCAAGAAAGCTCTCAAATCTTTGTTGATCATTGAATTGAAAATTTAATTTAATTTCAACACATCTCAAAAATTGCTTCGGATTCACAACGAGTTTTTGTTATATTATTCATAAAGGAACCCTCTCTTTTTGAAAGTTCAAACATACGTATACCTATTACATAGTTTGCTTCCCCCGAACATTGAATACTCAAGCCTCCCCAAAAAAGAGTAGAACTAGTATTATCTACACTAGACTTTAATTTCATGAAACGATTCTTTTGATAGTCTAACTTGTTTAAAAGTTGGTGTGACTTTAATATAATAAGTCCCTTTCCAATTCTTCATGCAATGAAATAAAATAAGTGGTGCCATCAAAATTTTTTGTGATACTTATCATAAAAATGTCTTTATAGTATCAACAGGTCAGTGGTCTAGCAGTATCAAGTTCCTACTTTCTAAAGAGAGATTAGGTGTTCGAACTTCCATGGTGACATGTGTGTGAGTGAGTACCAATTAAAAAAAAATATATATATACTATTTTATTTAGACAAGAAGCTTATAAGTCAATTTCTTTTTGTTTAAACCTAAATCGAATATCATGAAAAGCTCCTAATTTTATCAAATGCACGAATGAATAATAATAAACGTGTGCATTCTCAGCAAGATTTCGAAGGGATTTGTTAATGAAAATTTCATAAAACAAAATAAAAGTCATAATCACTTCCAATTCATAAATAATAATTAATTATGGAATCACAATTAATAATCATAATACTTTATCATTAATTTTACTAATAAGTAAACTTAAACATTATTTTATATTATAAACTGGGATTAAAATTTTATTTTATTTTATTTTTAAACTATAATTTTTTCCAAGATTAATGGCATGTAACTTTTTCCTCTTCCTCTATCCCTATCCCATAGGCACAGTGTTTGAATCAATAGAGAACATTTTGTTCTGTATGAAACGATATTCTTTATTACATTCCAATTCAACCAAAGGGAATGGTGACCTTGGGTTATACGAAGTCTGAAACCAAGTGGATTTATTTTTTGTCCCATACTCCCTCACTATTATATATATCATTATACGTTATATCTATCTACTTATTTTTTCATCTAGGTTTTTTTTTAAATCATTGAATTTTTTAAAAAATTATTGAGATAGTCTATCTCTACATATTCCTCCATGGATATATCTGTTATTACAATAGTTATATGTAAGAAAACATAAGGTGAAGTGCCCATTTAAAAGCACCCCACATGTCTAGTTAAATTGCTTTTTGCATTTAACCAATAATCAAATTCAATGTATTACTCTCATCCAAAAAATAATATCTATACACTGTTCAACCACTTTCTCTCTAATTTGAGGTCCCGGTCCGTCATTCACACACAAACACACACTTTATATATAAAAAACACACACACACGTACACCACACACAAATACATCCCCACGATACAGAGTTTCATATTCGAATTCAAGTTCAATGCAAGCGTTGATATCTAAAACGCAGACCAATTCAAATGAAAAAGGTTGTGGGACCCACAAACCAAAACACGCCAACGCTGCATTCTCTTCTCCCAAATTACCTGTTCCTGCTATTGACTAGGTAAATACAGCTGTGGGTATCCAACACACACAAAGTGTAGGTGCATTTTTGTCATTTTACAGATTGGAAAAAACAAAGGAAAATTCATTCCATTTTACTTACTTTAATTCGAAGGGAGGTGTGGATGATTTTTGTGTCTTGAATGGTTGGGGCTTGGCCAACGTAGACCACCTTTCAGCTTTTTCCAAATTATATACTCACAAGTAATGTCCACTCCACTGACACGTGTCGGTAAACCCACCAAGAATCCACCTGGGATCACCGTTTTCAACAAATCCAGCTACCGGAATCCGAACCTCCAAACCAGAAATTATAAGAAAAAGTGTAATAGTGACAGTGCTGTTTGATTTAAAGAGTATCAAAGCTCGTTCTTGTTGTCGCACGTGTTGGAGGGTGTTGTTTTCGTGGGGGTTTGGATTGCTATTAATGCGGGGTTGTCCTTCTGACTTTGAGAAAAGCTGTGTAACTGCTCCGTGAGTTGATCAATATATTGCATAAAGATCAGAACAGAAGCAAATTTTGGACCCCCTCATCGATTGCTAGCAAGTGATAGACGCGCTCTAGGCCACACCGGGTGCGCACAGTTTAATTTCGACCCATTTTAAAATAAATTAGAGCCAAACTAATTTTAATAGTTCTAAAAGTATTAAAATCGAAACGAATTATTAAAATAAAAAATACTAAAGATCACGAATGAAATTTCAAGATGTTATCATAAATAATGTGGTTTTTTATTTTTTGAAAGAACTAAACCAAATAATTAAATAAAAAATGAACTATTTATTTTTGGAAAGAATTAATCATAGAAAGAAAAAAATATATATATCTCCTATCAAATCAAACTTGCAAATTGTTTTGTCTCGTTCATCTCTCAATTTAGGGTTAGTTGTATATTTTGTTCATCTCTAAGTTTAGGATTTTGAACTGTTGAGTTATGATATATATATAAATTCAAAACAAACGGTCAAATTTAAAGCATGTTTTTCATTTTTTCTTATTTTACTTCAAAATTTGTATGCCTTCTGGCTTGGTTTTTGTCACTGTACTGCTTTTGATGGTTTGACCTTTGTGCCTTTGCAATGAAATGAAAAAAAAAAAAATCAAAATAAACTCAAACTAGGTCTCTTCTTACTAAGTTTTTTCATGTTTACAGAATGAGTAAAAATAGGACTCATAAATAATGTTCTTATGTGTGTGTATATATATATATATATATTTGTATATAGCTAAAGAAATATATTAGGGAAAATATGAGAAATACAATGTAATAAAAAGACCAAAAATATGTCATGAAAATTCTTGTGATAATGCCTATATTCACCACTTTTGATTTGTGATTTTATTTTGAATTAGGCTGATGTTTATTTATTAGCTTATTTTTGTGTGTTTTAAAAGTAATCACTTTTAATATAGAAAACATCTTAATAAAGGAAAGAGAGAAAAAATAGCAAAACTTACAATTATAGAAGTTAATTTTTTTTACCATAAATGAATGACCTATTTCTCGTGAATAAGAATAACTTTTTTATTAAATCATTAAATAATTTAAACTATAACTTACAATTTTTTTTACCATGAATGAATTACTTATTTCTCGTGAATAAGAATCCTAATTTATATAAAAGTAGTGATAGTTACAACGAACACTTGCAGGGCTCCACTTCCTTATTTATTGCATAATTGACCAATTAAAAAAGTAGGTTGTAGCAATTTACTACAACTATTCAGTGTAGGACTCATTTTCCTTTACATAATTCAGTTAAAGTTTTTATGATCCTATTTTGATTTGATATTTTCTAATTAAAGTTAAATTTGAAAAAGATAACCACCATATATATACAAAGTAGTTGAAAAATATAGAAAATGTATAATAGATAAAAATATATATATATTAAAATATAAGACATTAATGTCTTTTTAATTATTACCGGATCATATTAAAGATCAACTCTTGAATTTTTATCCGAGATATGTAACACTCCTTTTTATTTTATTTTAAATAGTGCTATTAAAGGTGAAGAATTGTATATGATTCCGTAATTAAATATTCTTAATTGATCATTTATAAAAAATATAAGAGATTAAACATAATGCTTTCTTATATTTTACATATTTAACCGATTAAAAGCATTGTTCAAGAATTCTCTACAAAACTTGCTTTGAAAACAAATTTATGTGTTTACGTTTTTTTTTTTTGGTTTTGGGTGGAGGCTGTGTTGGTCACGTATTTAATGTGCGCGTGAAGGGTGTGTCATGCCTAACTCCAAAGTGCCATGACCGACTGCTTACATGGTGTACCTCTTACATAGCAAATCACCACAAGTTTGGATTGACCTGTCTTGATAGTAAAAATTTCAATCCATCACACGGTGGAGAACTTAAAGCACACCCATATATAATTGAACACACATAGCAATTTCACATAATCTATATAACGCACAAAAACCACAAAACCGGAGGAGTAATAGCCAGTTGGAAATCCGCCCCTCTCTCTTAAACTGTTCTGTTATAATGACAAGAATCAATCCAATAGCTTAAACGAAACTCACACCCGGTCCCTCCTCCCCCCTCTCTCTCTAAACTCTCGCTCTAAACTAACGTTCTATAATGCCTTTGTGTAAGTATTGAAGCTTGTTGTAGTTGTTGTGTTTGAGAGAGCCTTCACCGGCAAAGATGTCGTCGGGCTTCTCAGGGGAAGGTCCTGGCTTTTACACCGCCGGCGGGATCAGTGGAAGATCTATCAGCATGAACAATTCTCAGATTCCGTACCGGTCACAGCTCGCCGGAGTTCTCGCCGATCCGTCTTCTCAGATCCTCCATCGCCAGACTGATTTGATCGGCAAACGATCTCTGGCGGAGTTCCAAATCCAACAACACCACCAACTCCCTCTCTACCAACAACAACAGCACCCTCTCTACCAACAACAGCAGCAACAACAAAGTTTAGGGCTTTATCTCAGGCATGTGAAGGCAAGAACTTACCAACACACCTCTCCGATCTCTCCTCTATCCCCTATAGATTTCTCTGCTTCAATTTCACCGGAAACAACTCCGACCACAATTTCTTCTTCTTCCTCAAGAGCGATGTCTTCTGCGCGGTATGGGTTACCGATTCTTCAACAACTCCGACCACAACCCATCAATCCCTGCAACGGAAACGGTATCATACCTTCTTCTGCTAACCCTAATTTCTCCTCTGCTTCGTACCCAAATTTGGCTCAAAACAGAGTTGCTAGTCATGAATCGGTGGGGCAAGAATCTGAGAAGAAGATGATGTATCAGCTACAAGAGATCGAGAAACAGCTCTTAGATGACAGCGACGACGAAGAAGGCGACACTGTATCTGTAATCACCAACAGCGAGTGGTCGGAAACGATTCAGAGCCTCATCAGTCCCGGTGGTCAGAAGCCCATTTCACCGTCTCCGACCTCATCTTCATCCTCGTGCTCGTCTTCATCGGCTTCTCCGCCAACTGTATGTCCCAAACAGTCGTTAATGGACGCTGCATCGGCAATTTCCGAAGGAAAAACAGAGGCTGCAACAGAGATCCTCACTCGCCTGAGCCAGATTTCCAACCCGAAGGGCACTTCCGAGCAGAGGTTAACGGCGTACATGGCGTCGGCGCTACGGTCGCGCGTGAACCCCACCGAATATCCTCCTCCGGCGGCTGAGCTTTACGGCAAAGATCACACAGACTCAACTCAAATGCTATACGAAGTATCCCCCTGTTTCAAGCTCGGTTTCATGGCGGCCAATCTCGCAATCCTCGAAGCCATATCGCAGCAAAAGCTCAATAAGCTTCATGTGGTCGATTTTGATATCGGCCAAGGCGGTCAGTATAAGCATTTGATTCACGCGCTCGCCGCAAAGAAGGGCGAGAGAATTAGCTTAAAGATCACCACTTTCATGGACTTTGCGAATGGAAGTGAAGAGCGGTTGAGGATGGTCGGAGAAGGACTCAAAGCAGTCGCGAACAAGGACGGAGTTTGTTTGAATTTCAGTGTTTTGAGCCTCAAAATATGTGATCTTAGTCTGCAGACATTGGGTGTGGAGTCTGATGAGGTTCTCGCCGTGAATTTCGCGTTTTTGCTGTATAAGTTGCCAGACGAGAGCGTGACGACGGACAATATGCGCGACGAGATGCTCCGTCGTGTGAAGGGGCTAGCCCCGGCGGTGGTGACGGTTGTGGAGCAGGAGATGAACGCGAATACGGCGCCGTTCGTGGCGCGTGTGTCAGAGGCGTGTGGGTATTTCGGGGCGTTGTTCGACTCGCTCGACTCGACCCTTTCAAAGGATAAACTGGAGCGAGTTAAGATCGAGGAGGGACTGGGTCGGAAAGCGGCGAACTCGGTTGCGTGCGAAGGGAGGGACCGCGTTGAAAGATGCGAGGTGTTCGGCAAGTGGCGGGCCCGGATGGGCATGGCTGGGTTCAAACTGAAACCGCTGAGTCAAAGCGTCGCTGAGTCGCTCCGATTCAACTCAGGCACTAGATTCAATGTCAAAGAAGAAACCGGAGGGATCGGCTTTGGTTGGATGGGACGAACACTAACCGTCGCATCTGCGTGGATTTAACTTTCATTTTCCTTTCCATCCTATTCCCCCCTCTCTCTCTCTCTCTCACTGTCTGTCTCTAAAAAGTATTAATTGTTATATAATTATGGTTTTTATGAGAAGAAAAGAAAGACCCACCAAACAAAGTTTTATAATAAACGGCGTGTTTGGACATGAGGAAGAATAGAGAAGCTGCATTTGTTAGTTTGTTTTACAAAAAGTAGTAGTGGTGGTGTTTGGCATATTATGCTGACTTGTATGTATTTCGTTATCCCCTCTCAATGGAGGGCTCCACTCTTAAGATTATATTTTTCATTTGGTTGGTTTCCTAGTTTCAGGTAAGTTTTGGTTATTGGTGGGATACGTGGACTTCTCTCATTGGTATGACATGGACCACTCCCTTTTATTTTTATCTTTAATTGGAATTATCTTTTCAGCAAATGGGTTTAGGGCTTCACGTGCGTATGCTTTAAGATTTGATTTGTTTTAGTGTTGTACCTATTCCCAGTTACCAAACAAGGTGCCTATAATTTTTTTGTCACACTAATTAGATGCATGTCATAAGGCACTAACCAAACTTGGAGGTTTTTGTTCTTTTATTCAATCCTATTAATTTCAGAAAAATGCCTATTCGTGCATATACAAACAATATAAATTTATATTTTTGATTTAATCCTTAGATGTGTGCATGTATAATTGAGGGTACATCTTATATACTAAAAACAAAAACAAAAACCAACCAAATTTGTAATTTGGAATAAAAGGTGTCACCCCATAAAAAGGTTGAATAGGTGGGATTTAAGGATTTTTAAATTTTGGGTACGCTTAATATAAAGGTCCCGAAATAGTAGTACATGCGTACTGTGTGTGCACACACATATCCTCTTCTTTTTTCTTTTTTTTTTGGTTTTGTATATGGTGAAATCGGTTTTTCTATGGTTCCATGCATAGGACACATAGTTGCTTGAAGAATTGTGACGAGAAAAGATTGTGTAGATTTCATTTGTAAAAATGCCACATATTTGTGTGATTAAAGGACCTTATTAATTGTGACTTTTGCAGATGTTGTTAATGGAATCAGCATGGGATTGTAATTTAAGTCCATTTACACAAATGTGCGTGTGTATATATGTATAAGCAAATAAAAAGAGATCTTACTTGTTGGTGGCCTCTTCAATATGGAATTGAATGCATTTAATGGAATGAGAAATAACAACGAGGTATTGTCGATGGTTAATTAATGAAGAGAATTGGAACCTATAGCCATAGTAGGAGCCACAAGCATATATGAATCTAAAGGAGAACAGATATTATGATATATAGAAAGAATATTGATGAAATTCAGAGGGTGGTGAGGGCCAACATATGAGTAACTTACAGAAGTGAATGAAGGAATGGAAAGGGAAAGAAAATAAATGATCTTTAGAGAAGAGTGAATGATGTAGACTAGACAGTTTAAAAGCTAGTGGACCGGTTACTTGGAATCACCGTGTTCCAGTAAATTTTTTTTTCCCCTTCTGTTTCACCTAAAATATGATTATCACAGTAATTGCAAGAAATTAATTTGTTGGTAAAAAATTAAGAAATATATGCTAAAGATAAAATGAGTGAAAATGGTAATCTTATAAACTTTTATCATCTAATTGTTTTCTTTGTCTTTCAGTTGGTTGAAAAATTGAAAAGATGTACGAGAAATATAACATAAATCCTCGAAAAAGGCAATGAGGCATATATTGAGCTAGATGTCTCCTGCCTATAAGATTTGGACAGGTTGCACTAGAGGTTTGAATTCGACCGAGTTAAGAATATTTTGGAACTAAATAATTTTTAATGGTTTTATATAAATTAGAATCGAACTTAAAAGTGTAATAACTCTCACCCTACCTAGACAGAATGTTGTTCACTTTTGACTCCCCCGTACCAAAGACTTCCCATGGAGTAATCCATCCTGGTACTACTCCAGGTTAAGCACGCTTAACTCCGTTCCAATGGATTTATGGCTATCACGGCTTTAAAACGCGTTGTGTGAAGGATGTTGAATCTACATATAACACTTGTCACATCCACACCCAAGTGATGTAGGTTTGTGCACCTGTAGCTCGCCTAGTGTGATAGCCTGCCAGTGCCTCGCACCCGCCCACTCACACTTGCCCACATAGGTCGCCACAAAAAGATTAATTTTATTATTCAATTATTTATATAATACAAAAAATATAAATATATATACAATTTATAAAACTGTTTGGTTCGGTCTTGTAGAACTTCAAAAAGTAACTGAAATATTTAAGAAAGTTTTTCATGTTTTTGGAACAGGTACCGAATTGTAAAAAAATCAAACTTACCGATTCGATTCGATTTATCAGTTGAACCAATTTTTTGTTCACTCTTAGTTTAGGCTGGCCAAGGGGTTAGCTTACGCCAAACCCAAGCTTCTAACACTTCCCCTTTGCCTAACACAAGCCTAGAGGAGCCATCGCATCTTGTGTCAAATTTTGCTCCTGTTTTTAGACCTCTCATGTCATACAAAATTCTAATAACCCACTAATAAATAAAATTACAAAAATGATTTTTTTTTTAAAGAAGTTTATAACTATATACACTTGACACGAAATACAACTATCAATTAAAGTTTTTTTTTGGTGGGGGGGGGGGACTCTTAATAATATTGCTTCTTAATAAGAACTCAGTATCTTTTTTTATTATTTTATTTTTTTAAACTAAAATTCAATTATTATAATTTTCATACTTTAAAATTTTCAAGCGCGCCAAGGTCAGGTTAAAATCTATTATATATAAATTATCTAATTTTAACTTTATTTTACATAAACAAGATTTAACAATATAAAATTTATAAGATTTTCTTATATTTCAGATTCTTATGATTGCGCGAGTTAAGAAAACATTTACTCAAATCGCGCAAAATAAATTTGGCCTCTAAAGTTTATCTCACAACGGGTACCATGGTCTCAAATGCCCTGTCCAAACCCTAAAATTTTAGGCAAGGCTTGGATTACTCTATACAATAATATCAATATGTGTATATATATTTTGAATTTTTTTTTTCCATTCTAGGGGTAACATGTATATATATATATATATACTAAATAATTTCTTTCCATTCTAGGTTACAGATATTCAAACTTGATCTTTATGCTCCCTTGTTACATTTTAGATGTTCATTTTTAAAATTCTAAAATTTAAGTTATTGATTTTTAATATTTGTTAGTTGCATGAATGAAATTTTAAATTTATCCTTATTGTAAATTGGTGGATTTACGTTAGTTTTGACTTTTATTCTTTCAATGCAAAAAGGATGAATTAAGAAGATTAGAAAATACAGAATATTTATCTTTGAGATTGTAGTCATAGGACAACTATTATGGAATAGCTAAAAATAAAAGAACAGATTATTAAATATGAGACTGAGACGGAAGTCAAGGGAGATAGTAAAAATTATCTTGCATCAAATATTGATGGATAGCTCGAACGGATTTTTGGATTCAGGGAGCAACTTAACCATTTAAATAACACAACACCTGCAAACACAATCTTAAACTTTAACTTGTATTAAACACCAAAAGAATGCGTGTAATTTGAAGTATTTCAAGAAAAAAAATAGTATAAAACTCGTACATTAATTAATTTTCGAACATATATTTATGTAATAATGATTAAAATGTTCACGTCCTTAAGGATGGCAATTTCTTTCAATCCATCGGGCTTGCGCCTCGCCCTGCCTCTAATGGGGTGGATTTGGTAACTCCCTCAATGAGTTTGTGATGGGTATAATAAAATAATTGAAAATTCGAAACAGGTTTGGTGCGGGGGTGAATTTATTGATGAACCCGTCTTGCCCCGATTATATATGTACCTTTAATATTTTTATAAATATATAAAATATATATTTAATATTTCTAAGACATTGTTACTTTGTTAAAAGTGTTGGTAAATATATTAAATATTCACTACTTAGTTATTTAACAGTTGGACCAACTTATTTATCAGCCTAATTTGAGTACATTGATCTAATTTTACTTTACTAAATAATAAAATTGGCATAACCTGCCTCGCCATACATTTAAACGAATTACGCTGGGCGGAGTTGGTATTTTGTCAGTTAGAGTAGGTAGAGGATGATATACCAATTACAATCTCGTTCCGGAGTAGGAGCGAAGTTGGTATGACAAATTTTTTTAATGGAACGAAGTAAAATTCAGCAAACCCGCCCCAACTCCACCTCTTTGCCATCCCGACACATTATGTCCCGCTATCAAGACCATCTATTTTTTAGATCAGACTACTCTAGGTTTTGTTTTTTTGTTTTAATAGAAAATAAACACTTCACTCACACATTCAACCACTTTGCTGTAAGTGAAGCAGCTCTAAGTGTAAGCTGAAACAATTTAGGATTCACATGTGTTATTTTGTTTATGTGTACAATTACAAATGAGAGCCACAATATATAAATATTTATAAAATTTAATAATTTAAATTTATTTTGTTTTGAATATTTTTATTCATAAAGTGATGTGCATACTACTAACCCTTAATATAAGATAAAAATTAATATCAACTTGAAAATAATTCAACCTTACAATAATTAATTTATAAAGTAGTGATCCTTGTCATAAGAGAACAGATACAACGGATGTGTTTCGGTTGCGTTGGTGTCCTAAGAGAACAGATTTAGCGGTGGGCGAATGAATCCAACTGATGTTTTCGTAATACTGTGCCTCATTTGTAATACTGTCCCTTTTGCGTTTCATAAAAACAGATTTAGCGGTGGGCGAATGAATCCAACTTATGCTTTCGTAATACTATGCGTTATACGTGTAATATGATAACAGATTTAGCGGAGAGCTAATACTTTTTTAATACTGTGCGTTATGCGTGTAATATGTAGGGATGGCAACGGGAGTAGGTTTAGGCGGGTGTACCCTTTCCTGTTCCCGCAACCGTTTAAAAACCCGGTCTTCGTCCCCGCCCAAAATTGCAAAAATGAGAAAACTTTTCACCCCATTCCCTTAACCATTTAACAATTTTACCCTCGCGGGTACCCGTCCCGTCCCGTTTAAGACCATAATTTAATCATTGTTGAAATGGATTTTTTTTTTTTTTTTTCCATCTTCAATTCTTCATCGTTGCAACTTTTCTTTTAATTACTTTAATATTGTTATATACCGTTGCAACTTTTCTTTTAATTACTTTAATATTGTTATATAAGGTATTTAATATATAATGAGAAATATATATACTAATGAAATAAGGGTAATTAAGTAATTTGTCTATCTAAACGGAACGGGACGGGGTGACGTCCTCCCGCCCCCGTATTAAACCGGATTTTTATTATATCAAATCATCCCCACTCAAATAAGCAAAGCAGGAACGGAGTAGGACGGGTAACTACGCGAACGAATCAAATTGCCATTCCTAGGAATATGATAACAGATTAAGTGTGCGATATACCTGTAATATGATAACAGATTAAGCGCTGCGAGAATATATCCAATTGCTATAACAATTTTTGCAGTATTTGAATAAATCTAATTGTTCTGTCGTATATTATTGTGTTAGGTTAGTGGGTGACGCGAGAAAGCAAATGCATTTCTGTTGCAAGTTGAGCATTACTCTTCTAACGGCGTGATTGACGAAATTATCCCATCCCATGCAAAACTTCATAACCTTGTCATAACTTTGATCAGTAGGCTAAATTTGTTCATTTGATAATAAATAAATAGAAAGCTTAACACTTAATCAATTAAACATTATCTCAAATGTGAGCGAAAAGAGTTTATTTATAGACATTTGGAATTTTATACCACACACAAGAAAATGATAGAAGTTAGTGGAATAAATATATAAGAATGCATCTTTAGAATAATATTTCATAAAACTTTTATAATTTTTTATTTTTTTATTTTTATTTTTTATTGAAAAGGACTTATAGCAATGCAACTCATGGATAGTGGATTTGGTACTAAGAGTTTTTCATTATTTTAAGTCCCATCACTTAAAATTTTATCATATTTTAAGTGAATTAAAATTCAAATAATATTCAAATTGCGTTATTAAATATGTTCAATTAAATAAAACACTTAATCCATTTAGAGTTGAGTTTTAAATTGAATTATCAAAAAGTACCTACATGAAACATTTAAAATATATAACTAACATATTAAATTAGATTATCAAATAGTACCTAAATATATATCTAACATAATAACATAAATCATGTTATTAACAATCTGTATAGTTTTTTTTTTTTTTTTTCTGACTTACTATACAGGTGAAAATTTTAATTACTAGCCTTTTATTTATTTTAGGAAGGTAAACCCTTTGACAGGGCTTTCTAGGTGTGGGAATTTGGTTGGATTAGTAGTAAACGAGGGATTAATGCATGTCAAATTCAAAGTTTTAACACGCCAAACCGTGCAGAGTTCAAGTCCTAATAATCGTATAAAGTTTTTTCCCCGCTAAATTTCTGTAAAAAATACTACTCCATATTTTTTAAGGTGAAAAAGTCCTTTGTAGTCCTTTTTTGAATAAAAAAAATCAGTGAATCTAAAAGTAACGTTAGGCTTTTATCCTTTTGTTTTCATTACATTTTCCCTCCTTTCTATATTGTCAGTGATCAACATCATTAGTAATTAAACTTCATAGTTTTTCCTATGTAAGATAATTAAATTGATATGAAAATACTCTCTCTCTCTCTATATGTATATATATATATATATATTTTTTTTTTTGTAAGAAAATAAGTATTAGATGTTAAATTAGTAAATGCAAATGGTGAAGGCTGACACTCTAATATTTACAAGAGACACTAATTCACTAACAGTCGAAAATAACTGCCATATGAAAATACTTTACTAATACAACTTAATGTAGGGTCCCATCCAAAATGGTAGAGTGGAACTGGGCCTTCTTGCAGTTGAAAGAGAATGTCACGGCTGGAAGCCCACGTTGGACTCTTATTCTGTAGTTGGACTAAGGTCCGCTTGAAAACTACAAATTTAACATTGCCTTGAGAGCGAGTACTAAATTGACATTTTAAAATTGAGATTGGAAGAAATTTAATTTAAATTTTTAATTAATTTTTTCAAATTCTAAATAGGGCAAGAAAGATGAATGTCACTAAAGTCTAAAGGTGTAAAGTACGAGAAAAATCAACTGAGAAAGCCAGAAAGATTATAGCTCTATGAATGAAATTTGGGCCGGTGCGAAGCCCATCTACCTAATATGTTCTGAACCATTAGTAAATAGGAGTGAAATTTTGTAATTATAAATTTATTCCATAATTGATATATAATCTGTTTTTTTATATAGATTTTTTTCAGTTTTAGTTATTTAATAATATTGCATTATAAGTTAAACAATAATTTATCTCATCTAAATTCAATTCAAAAACTCTTGAGTCTTGTGTAGAATACACGATTTTAGTACAAAAAAATTAATTATTTAGCATATGGATATTGACAACGATAGATAGGCCCAATACTTCAACTGAAAGCATCCCAAAACTTCTGTGCCGAAGTATTGGGCTTACAAAGCATTTTTCTTTGGGTTAACAAAACCAATTTTGGGTCTTGGATGCAGCCCATTTTCCTATCATGACCTGAACCATTTGTATCAAAAATTCTATTTCACTCAGATCAGGACCGTTTAATACCACCACTGTCAATCATTCGGCCAATAAAAAGTGAACCTCCATCACATAATATGCAGATCTTAACTCCACCATTCCTTCGTCTAAACCTCATCTATTTTGTACCTAAATACTCGGAACTCTCAAATTCGCACTCACTACACATCAATGGGAGCTCTGAGACTATCTTCTCTCTCTTACATTATAGCCTCCTCCTCCTCCGCCCGGTCGCCGTCGATTTTCCGGCGGAACCACCACCTGCGACTTCCTCTCCGGCCGCTCTCAACAGCGAATTTCTCTGCCCAGAGTACTACCGAGAAAGAGAGTCCTCCGGAGGTCGAGGACCGAGTCGCCAACCAGAAGTCCCGAGTCCAAGACCGAGCCGTAACGCCTCGGTCTCAGGACTTCAATGCTTGGTACCTCGACGTCATCGATAGCGCTGAGCTCGCCGATTACGGTCCCGTGCGGGGTACTATGGTCATTCGACCCTACGGTTATGCCATTTGGGAAGCTATTCAGGTAAGGTTTTGAATCTTATTTGAATTCTGAGAAATTCTGTGATCAGTATGTTTATGTTATTCAACTTCCTGGTGGGTTGAAATTTGGATGATATTTGTAACATTTGAAGTTTATATCTGTTTGAAGCACTTTAGTTCGTTTCCTATTTGGTTGTTTATCGTCTGTTGAATTTTGCAGGATTATTTGAATGCCAAATTTAAGGAGACTGGTCATAGTAACATGTATTTCCCACAGGTATGTTCTTTAAATCTCTCTTTCCTAAAGTTGTTTGTAGTTGTGGTTCTTCTTTCATAAATTGAATGGATCAGTTATTGATATTTCTGATTTGACAAAATGAAAGAGAAACTAAAAGCTCAAGTAAAATTGTATACGCGTTTAATTAATTAAGTCAAGCATATTTATCTTTTTCTAATATATTGTGCAGAATTCTCTGAATTTAATGAACTCTGCAAGCTATTCATCCAAAATTGGTGGCTATCAATGTATTAAAGTTGTTGGCATGTTTGGAAAATGGAAAATGCTCCCAATTATAGTAGCATCAGTCTCTTTCCCTTCTCCTTGGAAGTTGGAAGTAGAAGGAAGAGCTCCTCTTGTGGATCCCTCCCTCCTGTTGTGTTTCCTTTCAATGCTTTGTGTGTTCCATGGACAAGGAGATAAAAGTTGACCACTAAAAAGGCCAACCCATTTATGAATGATGTATGACATAATTTTTTTTTCAAAAATTCACCGACTCTTCAAATGTATGGTCAAAATTTTCCTTACCAAACACCCACAAAAAAATAAAAATTAAGTTGGTGTCCAATCATTGTAATTGTGCACTTTTTTTTTTTTATTTGAATTGTGAAAACACTTAACTGGATTTTACTTAATCCCATGTGATTTATTTATTATTTATCTATTCATCTGGATTGCAATGCCATGGCTGAACTATTCTTAAGTTTGACACTTACTATCCTGAAGGGGCTAGCAAATTCTTCTTTTTCAGTTTGGAGTGATGAGTTTTTTTTCAATTGATATAGATTGATCTGACTGACAGTAGTAATCGGATATGAAACGCACAAGATTATCCTGATTTGTTAGATTATAGTGAAATAAATATACAACCTAGGTCACAGTTCAATACCTTCGAACTCCTAGTTGATCTTTATACACAGCTAATACCAAATCGTCAATGCCATTGAAGATCTCCAACTCATCAACTACTCCATCTACAACGTTTTGTGCGCTCGAACTCTATTGACCGGTCACCGTTTATTCGCTCTGTTGAATCATTCAGTTGATTATTTAACAAGCTGATTTCTCAACCTTCTTCTTTGATGTATATTCAATCACCAAAACATAATCTATATGGTTCCTAAATTGAATATATAAAAATAAAAACCCAAGAGTGTAAAGATATGTAAAACCCAATTCCCACTCTTGATATTCTCACAAATCTCTCAGCAATGTATATGAATGTTCAAACCCTAAGGGAGTTGTTAGAGAATATGTTTAGTCTGACCTAAACTTATATTTTTTTCCCTTTATTCTCTCACTACCAGTCTCGAAACCTTGACCTAGGGTTTGGGAGTTAAGACCCAAAGCCACTTGGACAAAGGTAGACCGGTACCTTAAACACTGTTCTAGAAAGCCCTAAACTCATATTTGTAGACAAAGAAAAAGTCCACAATGTTTTTTTTAGTTTGAACCTTCTAAAACACTGTCTTGGAAAATCTTGTCCTACACTCCGATCGATCAACCTGATCAATCCATCCATAGCTCGATCCATCCATGATTGTGTTCACCTGATAATAACATTATGGAGTTTTTCTGATCGAAGCATCAATCGATCCAAGTCCATGTTCGATCGATCCATCCATGGATCCTTAAATGGACGGAATGATTAACTAAGCTATTCGAGTACACCGATCAATCCAAAACACTTTAGAATGCCTAAATTGAAAATTTTCAACACTTGCAAAAAATTAGACCCAAAACTCTTCAGAATGCCTAAATTGAAAATTTTCAACACTAATAATTTAGATTTCGTTTTTCAAAACCATGCATTATAAGAACATAAAATTTTTATTCCAAATAAGTTTATGAAAACTTTGAAATTTGAGAACCATGGCAAGAGCCATCAAGCTGTCAGCTCGTAAAGCTATAATGCATGAACCTAATTGTTGAAAATTCATCATAAAACTTATTTTTATCCCAACCCATATGTAAAATAGGCTACCTAAAGTCAATCTAAGTTCAACACCTGTAGCCTATTCAAGTGATTGAATATGCATCATCTTTGCGTGCTGTATCCACCATGTCTTCATCTGAAGTTCAGTGATTAACTCAATGGCACTGGGACATGATTACATTTATGTTTTGATGAGGAATATGCCAACACATGACTCAATTTCCTAACATGGAGTAGACTTGCCAACCTAAGAAGTAGTGATACAAGTTCAACTGAAAACAAATAGTACATATTCTCGTATGAGATTGCATTATATTGATTGAGTATATCCCTCTTTGGTAGTGTTTCCTCTACATTGCATTTCAGTTTTTTAATGTGCATCCTAATGCTGCAGTTTATACCATATTCGTTCATAGAGAAAGAAGCAAGCCATGTTGAGGGTTTCAGTCCAGAATTAGCCCTAGTGACAATTGGAGGAGGAAAGGAACTTGAGGAAAAACTTGTGGTACAATTTTCACTCAACTATTACAAACATTTAATTTTTTCATTTCTTATTGTATGACCATGTTATAGCAAAAATTCTGTTTCAATTCATGTGAAACTATGACCTGAGTTTTGGCTTTGATTGTGCACTTCTTGAGGTTCTGGCAGGTTCGACCTACTAGTGAAACCATTGTGAATCACATGTTTACTCAGTGGATTCATAGTTATCGTGATCTTCCTCTCATGATCAATCAGGTGCATTGGTATATCATGTCATTTTGATTCTCTCAACTCATAGAGTGGTTTCACTTGCTGTTTGTATATTTGCTGTTTAAAACTCATCTGTTTCAGTGGGCAAATGTGACAAGATGGGAGATGCGGACCAAACCATTTGTGAGGACTCTTGAATTTCTTTGGCAAGAGGGCCACACTGCTCATGCCACTCTAGAGGAGGCAGAGAAAGAGGTTCGCATCTTATTTTCTTGAGCACTCCTAAAAGTTGTCAGGCTTTATTATATTCATTTAACGGATTGATTCGGATGTAATGCAGGCATTACAGATGATTGATGTCTATACAAAATTTGCTTATGAGCAAGCTGCAATACCTGTTGTTGCAGGTAGAAAATCAAAGGTGGAGACATTTGCTGGTGCTTCTAAGACCTATACAATTGAAGCTATGATGGGTGATCGCAAGGCTTTGCAGGCTGGAACCAGCCACAACCTCGGGCAGAACTTCTCTCGTGCTTTTGGAACACAGGTCTTTGACATACTACCATAGTTTTCTGCTTAGTTTACTTCAGAACACCACTATTTTTCAGTCCATGCATTTATTTAGTCAGATTCCTATTTATTTTGCTTTTATTTTCTTAATGTAAAGAGAGTTATCACTTTGCAAGTGGAAAGACAGTGTTGGGAACTACTAAAGATGGTAAACACACTCTTAAACAAGGAATTTCTTTGAATGCTTTCATCCCAACTGAGCTGGCATCTTTCTTAGTTAAGTAACTGTTTGCTCACTTTCAGGAAATGGAACAAATTGAAGTTCACACTATTTTCATGAAATGTGCCCTTTATCTTGTTTGAATCGTGAACAGTGAAATGATAAAAACACATATTTTTTTTTTTGATAAGTAATAATGAATTAAAAAAGGCGTTCAAAAGGGGAACTCGTCCCATAGGCATTAGTGGAACCAGGGGCTAAGGCCCCAAAGAATCCAAAAAAGTAATTAAATCAACAGAAGAGGAGCATGAACTCCTCTTCACATAACTAAAAAGAAAACGAATAATAAAAAGTTTTAGCGTCGCCGTAAACGACTCCGATTTTTTGGTTGCTAAATGTTACCGCCTTCCCTTCGAACATTTTACTATTTCTCTCTTTCCAGATGCACCACCAAACGCAATGTGGGACAATTCTCCAATAATCGCATACACCCCTACTCAAATATAACCCCTGCCAATTCCTTCCTGCCGATACAATTGGTCCAGAAAAACACTTACCTCGTCCAACTACCAATCCTGAAATGAACACCGAAAATGCACGTCCCATATAATCCCACTACTATCAAGCCGATAACAGTCAGCTACGTAGGCATGTTTATCAACTGCAATACTGTATAATTTGGGAAATGTATGAAATAATGGCTGATCCCCACACCAAAGATCTTCCCAAAAACGGACGCAACGACCATCATGAACTTTGAATCTGATATGTGAGGAAAAGGCATCCCATCACTTCCGAATGGACTTCCACGCCCCAACTCCTCCCATAAGAGAAACCAGACGGGTAGTCTAACTGCCAACGTCTTCCCCATACCGACATGAGACTAACCTTCGCCAAGGACGATGTCTTTCCTTCCCGCATCTTCTAAACCATTTTCCCAGGAGAGCTTGATTAAAAGGAATCAATCGTCTAATACCAAGATCACCTAACTTCATGGGCTTGCAAACTTGCTCCCATCTACTTGAACTCTTCGCCCCTTCCGCCCAAAAGAAATCCCTTTGAATTTTTTCAATCCTATCAGCAACGGAGCATGGAATTTGGGACATAGATAGAATATATGTGGGGAGGCTCGATAAAGTGCTCTTGATAAGAGTTACTTTACCCCCCTTAGACAAGTATTGCTTCTTCCATCCTGCCAACCTCTTTGCATACTTGTCAATCACAGAATCCCAACTCCCCACTATCTTGGAAGAGATCCCTAGGGACAAACCCAAATAAGGAATAAGAAAGGAACTCAACCTACACCCAAGTACTGCAGTTAAAGAAGAGATATCCTGAACATTCCCAACCGGGACAAGCACTCTTAGCCACATTTACCTTCAACCCGGAAACCGCCTGAAAACAAGCTAGGATGCACTTCAAATATCTGAGTTGAGACACATCTGCATCACAGAACCAGGGTGTCATCTGCAAAAAGTAAATGAGAGATCTCCACCTGATGGTCTACATCTCTTCCCACCCTGAATCCCTTGAAGAGACCAAGATCCTCTACCTTTCGCATAAGTCTGCTTAAGCCTTCCATAATAATTAGAAATAGGAAAGATGACAAATGATCGCCTTGTCTTATACCCCTAGTGTACCCAAAAAAACCAGCAGGAGAACCATTCACAAGAATTGAGAACTTGACAGACGAAAGACAAGTCTCAATCCATTTCCTCCACCTACTTCCAAACCCTATTCTTTGTAACAAGTAGAGTAGGAAATTCCAATTCACATGATCATATGCTTTCTCAATATTAAGTTTGCATAAAACTTCAGGAACACCACTTCGCAATCTTGAATCCACACATTCGCCTGCGGTAAGAACTGAATCAAGAATTTGCTGTCCTCCAACAAAAGCATTCTGGGAATCTGAGATAATGCCATCCATAACTTCCTTCATCCTAAGAGCAAGCACCTTAGCTATGAGTTTGTAAATATAACCCACTAAGCTAATTGGTCTAAAATCCTTAATGTCAGAAACGCCTCCCTGATGAGGGCAATGAATGAGGCATTTAGCGACTTCTCAAAGACGCTAGTAGAATGAAACTCCTGAAAGGTACCAATCACCTCATTTCTCACTACCACCCAACTTTCCATCAGAAAACGTATAGTAAACTTGTTAGGCCCCAGAGCTTTGTCCCCATTACAACTTGATGAAGCCTTTAGAACTTCTTCTTCAGTAAAAGGAATCTCAAGTCCATCTCTATCCAACTCAGAAATGGCCTCCAAAGGGAGACCATCGAGTTTGGGTCGCCAAGCTAATGACTCTATGTAAAGCTTCTGATAGAAAGAAACGATCCCATTACGCACCTCTTCCTTCCTCCACAACTCCACACCTTCCACCCGAATACGTCCTATATGGTTACTCCTTCTATGAGCATTAGGTAGTCTGTGAAATTTTTTTGTGTTACGATCTCCCTCTTTCAACTAAAGAGCCTGGGATTTTTGTCACTATGAAATCTCCTCCATGCTAGCAATCTCAGCAAGAACTGCCTGACAGGAAGCTCTCCTAGTATATAGAGATTCCACATCCCCGCCCGCCTCCTCAAAACGATCAATCTCGGAAAATTCAGCAAGGACTCCATTCTTCCTCCATTCAAGATTCCCAAAAACATTCTTATTCCATTGCTTAAGATTGAATTTGAGAGCTTTTAACTTTTTTGTTAACATGAAGCTGGGCGCACCTGTAACTATTGCTCCCTCCCACCAAGAACGAACTTTCCCTTGGAAGTCCTCCGCTCTCAACCACATATTCTCAAATCGGAATGGGGTTCTTCGAGAACACAAACCCCCACAATCCAAAACCAAAGGAACATGATCAGAGATGACCCTTGCTAAAACCGACTGAACAACATTCAGGAATTTCTCCTTCGGGTGCGCGCCTCTGCTATGAAGGCGCAAGGCCACAAGTGCATAAAAGGCGCGCCTGCTTGAAAAGGCTTTTTTTTTTTACTTGTTTTGGTATTGTTTTTGGTTCGTATTGTTTATTATTGTTATTTTTGGTAAGTATTATTTTATTATTACTTTTTCTATAACTTTACAAAACTTACAAAACATAAAAAAATAAAAGAAAAGCAAAAGAGCAAAAGGAAAGAGGGGCTAGGGCTTGCAAACTGCAGCTAAGGCGAAGCAATCTCGGATCTGCCGAGTCACAGTGCCGGATCTGCCGACTCACAGTATGTTCTTCTTCTCTCTTTTCTCGGCATCTTTTTCTCTCTCTTCTTCTTTTCTTCTTCTTCTCTCTTCTCTCTGGAGTCTCGGCAGAATTCTTTTCTTTTCTCTATCTTTTTTGGTTCCCAATTTTGGGTGTGTAATTCTGCATGCCTTTGGACTTTTGTTTTGTATTTCATAAGGACACATTTAATATATATATTGATCACACACGTGTTTGTACTTTGTAGCCAAACTAAAATTGTGTAACTGAAATTTTAAAAAATTATAAATCAAATTAATCAATTGAACATTATTTTTCAAATTGTGTAATTGAAATTTTTATTTTTCTTACCATATTAGTTTTGTTATATCTTTTGAGGAAAATATAATTTAAAAAAAAATAAATAAATAAATTTGCAGTCATTAAGAAAAACTGGTTGACTAGAGAATATAAGTGCTTCCCTACATATATCAATTTATAAAATTCAAGTGTTCATTGAAATTATTGAATCACTAAAAATTAAATAAATTCAATCAAATTGCAATATTCAGATGGTTTTTTTTTCCATAGTTGTGTAGTTGAATTACAATATATATATAAAAGTTAAATAATTTGAATATTGAACTTAAATAATTGATTTAGTTGACTTTTACATCTTTATATATAATATTGCATCTTTATTGGGTGGGTTTTTTTTTTTTTTTCAACGCGCGCCTTGCTTCAGTCGGGCGCGCGCCTCGCCTTGCGCCTCAGGCTCCAGGAGGTAGGGCTGCAAATGAACCGAGCTATTCATAAACAGCTCGGGCTCGGCTCGGGCTCGTTCATTAAGCAAACGAGCCGAGCTCGAGCCCAATTTCTAGGCTCGTTTACTAAACGAGCCGAGCCTGAGCAACGTTGGGCTCGGCTCGCATAGGCTCGTGAACATGGGCTCGTTAAGGCTTGTTAAGGCTCGTGAACAAAGCTCGTATCAGGCTCGTCATATATATCAGGCCCATTCTATATATGTCAGGCCCATTTGTTTTTATTGTACATTTAAAATGTTTAGTCCATATTATTTTTAAGTTTGGCCCAGCTCATATTTTTCATTAATATGGCCCAAGCATTATAACTCACTAGCCCAAAGAAAATCCACCATAGATCCATAGCCCAAATAAGATTTCGTCTCACCCATTAAATTAGAACCCATCTCATCCGTTGATTTTGTAAGATATCAAAAAACCCTAAAACTACACCCCACCATTCAGATCTGCCTCTTCTCCACAACATCGTCAGTCTCTCTCTCTCTATCACTCACTCACGAGTTACGAATCAACTCCACTGGCGACGACAACCCTTCCATCTACACAACTACCTCTCTGTCTCTCTCTAATCAACTCAATTGCCATAACTCTCTCTCTCAGATCTGAACGCATCGTCTGTCATCGTCATCGTCGGCCGCGGTCCTCTGTCTTCGCCATGGACGTCGTCCGTTTCCCGCCGTCGTCTGTGCCGCTGTCCCTCCATCCTCGTCATCATCGTTGGCCATCCTCTGTCCTCGCCATCAATTAGGTACTGCATCAATTAATTTTTTGGCAAAACTTTATTTTCACTTTAATTCCATGGATCTGGACAACCTCAAAACATTCTTTAGGCAGTTGCAGACAATTTTGTTTAGCCTTTTCTTCTGCTTCTTCTAAATTTATGGAGACTAATGCTCAATGGCCAGAGGTAGCTAAATTAATTTATCTCCAACTTATTTTCCTCTGTGATTTCTTTTTCTACTTAATATATACAATGTTTCAGTGGTTCTATAGATATTATTATCATGGGAATTTATAACTTTTTGATGTGTTGTATTTTCATAGAAAATGCATAATGCACTCATGCTCAATTTTGTCCTTTTTTCTTTTTTCGAAATTAACTCTTAATTTGTTCTTGAAACATAAAAGCTTGCACTAGTGCACCTTTTTTTTTTTTTTGCTCTTTTTCTTTTTGCTTATGTGATAATTGATAAAGCAATGGAAAAAGGTATTGTGGCCTGTAGAATACTAATTAATTTTGAATTTTTTTTTTTATTTTATTTTTGTTAAACGAGCTGAGCCCGAGCTTTTAAAATCAAGACGAGCCTGAGCCCGAGCCCGAGCTCAAATTTTTGAGCTCGTCACGAGCTGAGCCCGAGCTCGAGCTGATCCCATAAACAAACGAGCCGAGCCCGAACAGCCTAAAGCTCGGCTCGGCTCGGCTCATTTGCAGCCCTACCAGGAGGCCTTTGCGCTTTTGTGCGCCTTAAGCCTTTAACAACTATGATTGGATCCCCGCCATTAGACCAAGTTTAGGCTGCACCTTCCATTGGTAGATGAATGAGAAGATGCTCATCAATGAAGTCAGAAAACTGATCCATTTCTGAGGACCTCCTTCCCCCTGTAGGCCTCTCTAACGGGGACCTGACAGAATTAAAATCCCTACCCAAACACCAAGGGAGAGACCAAAATCCTTGAACATGGCAAAGCTCCTCCCATAAAATAGGTCTCTCATTATCAACAACTGGTCCATAGACCCCAAAAAAAACTCATTTAAAATTATCCTCTTCCATCTTAAACTCACAGGAAACAAAAAATCTCCCCATCCACACATCCATTCTTGACAACCATCTGCTGTCCCACATAACTAAAACTCCACCCGAAGTACCTATAGCATCCAAAGCCTCCCAATCTACAAACCTTCCTCCCCATAAACTCTTAACCACCCTATCAGAAATGGATGCCAACTTGGTTTCTTGCAAACAAACAACCTGGGCCCCCATTTCCTTAAAGCTACCTTCACCACCCTCTTCTTCGGGTCATTTACACCACGAACATTCCTAGTAATAATTCGTAGCTTCATTAAAAACCAAATAAGGTTATCTCCCCTCCCCCTTTCTTTAAACTCCTACTTCTATTCCTTCCCTTTCCTTCACCACCCCTTTCTTCTCCTCATAGTTAACATAAGAGATAAGATTCTTAACCTCCTGTGCCCCTTTCCAGAACGATAAAGGCCTAGTGTTCATAACCTCATTAGTCACTGCAGTCTCTCTTCTTTCCACTATAGCTTGAAGAATAGATAAAGTCTGGTCATTATTACCATCTAATGAGACACCCAACAACTCGCTAGTGACTCCTATATTATCAACCACCCAGTCCCTTCCCATATCTGATCAAAACACATTATCCTTATGTTTTGTTGCTAACTTTGCCATGGTACTAATCAATTAGGAATTTCGTGTTATTCTCCTTCTTAACAGACCCATTGCGTCCACAACCATACAGTACGCAATGTTCTGCTATATTATTTTACTGAGCTATATTTCTTTCTTTCTTTTTTATTTTATACTAATAACGTATTAGAAAGCCTTCAAAAGGGGAACACATCCCAAAAGTTACTGAGCTATTTCAAGGGGTGCCTCTTCATAAAAGCATTTCGTGTTAATTTTATTTATTTATTTTGTTACTTTCTTCTTGTGTCATTATTCGTTGCTTTTCCCTGTTTTATTAATTTTTCCCACAGCAATTATGGTTTATCATTAAACAGGGAATATGGCCTTGGACAAGCAGCATACACCGAGAAAAGAGAAAACCACTAGTAGTCCAGTATATATATACACACATTTATATTTTATATATCTTAGTGGTGAATGTGCATTAAAGTTGCCCTTGCATTGTACACTTTCCTATAGCGCACAAGAATTAGAAACAAACACTTCGCCTCATGTTTAAGTGTTTCACAAACATGGTAAATTTTTTTTGCTGGTTCTTTTTGTTGTCTTTCCATTCAGTTCAACAATGCAAATTGACAGAACATTCCACCTAGTGGCTAACACTACAATACAAGCAAAAACATAACTCACAATTTCATTATAAATTAAGTCAAAATGTTCCATAAAATTGTGAGTTTCGAGCTTCTTTCTCCACGGTTTGTCCAATGCCTCTTTCCATCCTTATGTTTAGAAAGTTTTTAGATTTATTCACACTACTTTTTTTATTTGGCTTGTAGTTTTCATATGTCTGATTTATGTAGAAAATTGATGAGTATGGAATTTTACTAAATTGTGTGGTTATACAGTTTAGTGATGAAAATGGACAACGGCAGTATGTATGGCAGACATCATGGGCTATCAGCACCCGTTTTATTGGTGGTATCATCATGACCCATGGGGATGATGCTGGTTTAATGCTTCCCCCAAAGGTTGCACCGGTACAGGTATCTAGATGTCTCTTGCTCCCCAAAAGTTTGCTCAAGTTAACGGTTACTTGGTATTTTTTAGTAGCTATCTCCTTAATGCCTTTAGAATCAGTTGGTATGTCTTTTGCTTGAGTTTGAACTAGAAATTTCTTCTGTCATATAGCAGTTGGAAAGATATTTGAATATAATTTTTTGTTTTACTTGTGATTTAGGAATTTATATAATCCTTTTTATTTTTATACAATTTTGTGTATATATATATATATATATATATTATTTGTGTAAGTTATGCTAATATGTTTTATTTGTTTGTTACATAAGTAACATAAATATAAAAACTCTTATGAGTGTATTTTTTAGTATTATTGATGAAATATAAGCTAAATTGAGAATTATATTAAGTAATTGGCAATCACAAGTTGGAGAAAAATTGAAATACTATTAATGTCTCTGTAAATCTGCTGTGCAGTACATTTATATACAATTATACATTAGTAAAGAAATTCTTAAAAGCAGAATGAATACTGAAAACAATCCTATTTAGCATTATCTCTAAAAATTAAGAAAAAAATTTAGAATATGAACCGGAATACCAAGGGAAGATAAACTACCCAAAATTAACTAAATCTAAGTCTCATTTGATTAATAACAAAAAATTTGAAAAACTTGATTGTCTTCTTTATAACACTGGAAACAAAAGGACCTAAATGATGGAATTTGGACTAAAAACTATGTATGTCATGAGCAAACCTAGTGAGTATGATTCTTAATTATCTGGTATCTGGTTTCTAAGTCACTCTAGTATCATTTCATTATTGGTAATGATTGGCTTTCCGTCTAGTAGAGACAGATTTAATATAAGCCTACACTTTTGAGAATTTTTATCATTGATATGTCATTCATCGTCATCTTATAATGCTTCAGCATGTGTTTCAGTTTTCTGTACAGTGTTAGATGGATCATTTCAATATAATTTCTTAATACGATATCAATATTATCAATTTGTTATTTATTTATTTTTTTGAGCCATCTTCAGCTATAAACAGTGATGTCCAATCACAATGATTTCTTACATTATGCTAGCCACTCAATATGCGCATGAGGCTTTAAAATATTAAGTAATAACTTATTTCTTTGCAGAAAAAAAAAAAAAAAAGAAAAAGAAAAAGAAAAGAAAAAAGAAACAACTTATTATGCACTAATAACTTATGCTTTGTCTGTTCTGGTACACTTGGGTGTTACCAAAACTTGTCACTGATAAGCTTGTTAATATATATATCTATATATATATTGGTTTTTGATTGGTAAGAATCTTGTTACTTAACTTTCTTTAGCTTCATTGCACTAAATAAAGATTATTTTGACTTGCCTCAGTGGAGTTCTTTATATAACAAAGGACACAAGGTGTTTGATTTCATTTCATTTATTGTGAATTGAAAAAAAAAAAAAAAAAAAAAAAAAGGATCGATGTCACTATATAGATTCCTTAATTTGTTGTAATATATGCATTTACTAGAGAATATATGATTTTGTTGTAAAGCATAAAATGGAAGCGAAGAGATAAATAAAACAAGTAGAACACGCAGATATTACATGGTTTAACCACTATGGCCTACATCCACGGCATAAAGAGCCCAAAGGGTTACATCACTTTTATAATACCCTCTCAATTCATACACAATACAATGGTGGAGACTCCTTTATATAGGAGAAGAAATTATGAGAATGGAAAGAGATAGGAAATAGGAAACAAGGAGAATTTTTCTCCATTGATTCCTCTATAACACCAAATCTTCAATAATAGGAAACAACATCAATTACTGAAAGATTTTCCTCCACTGATTTCTCCATTGAATCTTCAATCCTCCCCCTCAAGTTGGAGCATGAATGCCCAACTTGCCATTGAGACGACAAGTTGCAACAAGTGTGAATGATGAAGAGTGAAGACGAAAAACAATGCTACCGGACACACCGGCATCCCAAACAAGTCGATAAAAACTGCCGGATACACGACAAAGGCGAGGATAATGCTACTGAACATACCGGCATCCTAAACAAGTCGATAAATACTGCCGGAGACACGGCAAAGAAGAAGACAATGCTACCGAACACACCGGCAGCCCAAATAAGTCAATAAAAACTACCGGAGATACGGCAAAGGCGAAGAACATTACTGCCGAACAAACCGGCAGCCCAAACAAGTCACAAATAGCACCAAGAAACCCTTAGCAACATTCCAGATGCCAAGGGAATACCCCAAAATAGGGGTCCAAACCTAGGAAGATAAATTAGGCTATGATACCATGTTGTAAAGCAAAAAACGGAAGGGAAGAGATAAATAAAACAAGTAGACACACAGATATTACGTGGTTTAGCCACTAGGGCCTACATCCACGGCACAAAGAACCCAAAGGGCTACATCACTTTTATGATACCCTCTCAATTCATGCACAATACAATGGTGGAGGTTCCTTTATATATGAGAAGAAATTATGAGAATGGAAAGAGATAGAAAATAGGAAACAAGGAGAATTTTTCTCCAATGATTCCTCTATAATACCAAATCTTCAATAATAGGAAACAACATCAATTACTGAAAGATTTTCCTTCACTGATTTCTCCATTAAATCTTCAATTGATTTTTAGCATGATTGTACTCCGTGTCAAAATGCAAACTTTAATTTGACATTTACTGCTACAGCCGGCATAGTTGAGGCTTGGTTTTGAAATTTCATAATTTATGCCCGTTTTAGGTCCCAATCAAGATTTAATAGAAATTGTCCTGTAGATTGACCCGTGCCCTCCTCCTACTGGCATGGTCTCATATCTATTTATTTATTTTTAAATTTTTATCTTGCCATGCAATAATGTATTTAAATCTATTTCAAATTTTACTTTTTTATATTCGTAGATATTTACCCATCTTCAATGCTGATTTTGGCTTCATATTTGGTACTACTATTCCTTTTAATGTGTTATCACATATTTCCAGGTGATAATTATCCCAATCTTCAAGAAGGCTGATGAGAAGACAGGAGTTCTTGGTGCTGCATTATCTGTGAAAGAAGTTCTAACAACTGCAGGAATTAAAGTCAAAATTGATGACTCAGATCAGAGAACGCCTGGATGGAAATTCAATTTCTGGGAAATGAAGGTATGCACCCCTCTTAAAATTCAAAACTTCATAGTTATGCTGAAATTTGTTGGTCTTCGCCACAGCAAAATCAATCCCTAAGTTTTTGGAGCTGGTTGCAGCTTTTGGCACACAACATTTGCCTATTAGTCTTTTCCTATTTTTTTGCAGCACTAATTTCTTCATCTATAAGCAGTTGAAAGCCATAAGCTAGCCTGTGATAATGCTGACTTTGTCATTTACGAGTGTGTATTGATGTACTAACTTCTCAAATATTCGTGCCAAGAACCACCCTGCAATGTCAAAATCGCTAATTTTCATCTCTGCGATCATGCTATACATGCCCTAAGCAGTGAAATTTGTTGGTATTCACCACAGAAAAATCAGTCCCTGAGTTTTTTGAGCAGGTTTCGGCTTTTGGCACAATATGTTTGCCTATTAGTCTTTTCCTATTTTTTGCAGCACTAGTTTTCATCTATAAGCAGTGAGTTTAAGTTGAAGGCCATAAACCAGCCCGTAATTATGTTGACTTCTTCATTCATAAGCGTATATTGATGTACTAACTTCTCAAATATTTGTGCCAAGAACCACCCTGCAATGTCCGGCAATGTTGAAAGCACTAATTTTCGTCTATTGAATCATGCTATACAAGCCCTAAGCAGTAAGCTGCTTAAAGATTGTCTTAGGGTGTTGGAACTGTAGTTGTGAGGGGAGTGGTTTTGCTTGTCAGCACAAGCTTTTACCATTGCACCAAGCAATGGTTCTTGAATATATACTGTTGAAGGATTTAAATATTAAAGTTACACTTTCTCTAACAGCTTAAGCTTTTAGAGTAGGTGTTGGTTAACATGGTATTACAGCCAAAGGTCTCAAGTTCAAACCTCACCGTCACCTTGATAATTAAAATTGAAAATATGTGTTGAACCAAAAGAAGGCCACACGTGAGGGGGCATGTTGAAGGATTTAAATATTAAAGTTACACCCTCTTTAACAGCTTAAGCTTTTAGAGTAGATGGTGGTTAACATATGTAACAAGTGGTTGTAGAGGCCATTACTAGTGCTGGCCACCTAGGCTGGGTGCTGCAAGTGGAAGACTGGAGACAAATGCAACCTTTTGATGTTATTTTGCAAAAAGTGACTGTTGCAGACTTGAACTAGCTTTCTTACACTTGTCAGCTGAACTTTTACAACTGCATGAAGCAATGACCCTTAAAAATGCTACACCATTATATCTGTTTTGCTATAATTATCAGGTTTTGTTTGTCGATGAATAGAGCAGTTTGCTAATCAGAGTTTCTTTAGAGAGATAAAAATGTTGTTTGACAATATGTTATCACAAGCAACATTCTTTGTTTTTTCCAGGGAGTACCTCTAAGGATTGAAATTGGTCCTCGTGATGTTTCAAGTGGGAGTGTGGTCATATCAAGAAGAGATGTTCCTGGAAAACAAGGGAAAGTATTTGGAATATCTATGGAATCTTCAGTTTTGGTAGCTTATGTCAAAGAAAAGTTGGACGAGATCCAGTCATCACTTCTGGGAAGGGCATTATCATTTCGAGATAGGTGCAGTCTCCTGCTTTAACAATTCTTCTTTGTTTAAGCTGATCTGTTGTATAAAATGACATAATATGCATGAGCTCTGTTGTTCACAATAATTATCCATTAAACATCACGTCTTTAGAAATATCATGTTGATGTAATGCATGTAGTACTGTATAATAGACCCTAGGTGCCTGTCTGGCTGTCTAATTACTTAGTTGACTTAACAGATTTGATATTTCTATATGATAGATCATGCTAGGTTTTTTCACATCTTTATGTAGAATTTTGAACTTTAAGATATTAATTTATTGTCCTTAGTTTCTTGCATGTTGGGGTGCCATGACAGTTGGAGCATCCAGAGATTTTTTCTGAGAAAATTGGGCTATTTGTTCATTGTGTTTAACGTTTGAAGATACAAAATTGAGTATGTCAGACTTAATTTTGTAATAGCCTGTATGGCTCTTGAGAGCTATTGTAAAATTTCTTACGAAAGGGTTTATAGAGTCCTTATTTCTTTGCTCAAGCAAAGACAAATTAATGGAATTTGCTAAAATTGGAATGCTCTTTGCAATGTTTTGAACTTTTCTATTAAGAATGCCATGAAATTTAAGGTGAAAATCTCCATGGTTACCTATAAACTTCAAATTATTGCTTGATTGAAATTGAAGTAGAATATTTTGTGGCTACTTGGTAACGAAGTGACCGTCAGTTAGCTCCCTGTGTTTCTGAAAAGAGCTTCACTGTATTTTCTCTCTGGGGGATGAGGATGTCATCTACATTTTGGTTATAATTATAATGAACTTTTGTGTTTCTAGCTGGTTTATAATTGTAAGACATTCTTTTTTCTTTTTTTGCTTGGGTCTTTCCTCTTGGTTTATAATTATAAATTGTGTTTTTTTGCTTAGCATAACATGTATGTAGGTTTTAGTAAATTACAAATTATGCATTTGTATTATAATGCTCTGACTATATGAAAAGCTTTCATCTCTACAATTTTGTCAGCTGGTTTGCCTTGCTTTAAGTCCTTTGTGCTACCTTATTTTGTTTATATATCACTATTTTGCTGACACTAGGGAATTTTTGCAGTAACATTGTGGATGTGAGCTCGTATGATGAGCTCAAAGAGGCGATTTCTCAGGGCAAATGGGCAAGAGGTCCTTGGTCAGCAAGGTAAGCATTCTCTCTCCTCTCATAATTCGATCTATTTACATGTATGTATGCGTGCATATATATGGAGACATATGGTTGGACTCGGACGTGTCCTTCTTACTATAGCACAAAAACATTTAACTCCCGGATCATGCCCCATTTGTTGGTACAGTGATGAAGAAGAATTAAAGGTGAAAGAAGAAACAGGGGCAACCATTAGGTGTTTCCCCTTTGAGCAGCCCCAAGGGACGAAAACGTGCTTAATGACGGGCAATCCAGCCGAGGAAGTTGCAATTTTTGCCAAATCTTATTAGTCTCAAAACATGCATCCTTGTTTGGCATTGAATTCATCTTTGGTCGTCGTGGCATGCACTTGTAATCAAAATTTTCAAGGCTGCTGCTTCTCTTCGAGTGTATGATTAATATATTTTGATAAGCTGTAGCTCACAAATTGTAAAATTTTAGTTGTTTGGTTGCTTATATTTCATTATTGTGTAGTGTAGGACCTTTATAAGTAAAAAACATTTTGAAGAGGATGGGGGGGGACCTTTATAGAGGGAGCATTTTCGTTTGCTGAATTGCTGATAGTCAATGATGTTTAATGCAGAGTTTTAATTGAAAGTGGTGTTAGTGTTGTTAATATATGTAGGGTTCATCTCCTCTGGAATTAAATAATGTTTCTGAGTAGTAAAATCATTTTTAATACTAAAAACATATCTGCAGACACAGAGACACAGAAAGACAATATGAAATGAAAACCAGTAAAGTAATGCCATTCAAGCCGAAATTTTAGAAAATAATACATTATTAATGTGTTCTGAACGATGCCATTTTATCATTGTTGTTTTTATTTTAATTTTTTTTTATTTATAATAATAATTATTGCATAGCAGATTTATGTTTTTGTAATTTAGAAAAAAAAAACAGTAGTTGTAGTATATTTATGAGGAGGAGAAGCTGAGCTGATTAGACACGAAAGGAATCTGTTGACTTTTGATGGCATGGTGGGGTATGAAGATTGGGCGCCCTCCTTTGGGGGTTGGGTTGGTCATTGTGGTGGGGTTCCCTCCGTGGAATAAAAGCAACACGGCATGGGACAATGGAGGATGGCACATGCACTTTATTCTTGAGAGGACTTGCCAAAAAAACAAAAAGTAAAGTGAGGAATCTAGGTGAGTTTTTTCCGGTATTAAATTGAGAGATTTTGCGTTTTGAGATCCCCCAATTAGGGATGACAATTGTGTGGGTATATAAAATCACAATTTGGATATTCAATATTTCTTTTTCAAGTTCTAGCCAAAAATTCTCACATTGCCCTCGAACTTAGGGAGCATGGACACTTTTACAAATGAGCCATACTCGTGTTGGATACCGACACTCCTCATATATGTGTCTTGACATTTCATATGCGCGTCCATAAATAAAAATTAATTTTATTATTTTGGACACTCCTCAAATACGTGTCTTGACATTTTTAACACAAGTTTATACGGTAATCTTGAAAATACTATGAATAATGGTATATATGATATAAAAATTATTACAATAATAACATGATTTTATTTTCTAATTTATTTCATAACAATTCTTAGTATAAAAATTATAAATAAATTAAAATTTTATAATATTATTAATGAATAAATATATAAAAATAAAAATTTATATTTATATGTAGTCGTGTCTATGCTGCACTCGTGTCTTACTTTTTTAAAATTTGACGTGTCCACATATTCGTCGTGTCCATTTCCTACGTTCGTGCTACGTTAGCCTCGAACCCTCTATCCCTTACTTTTGAAGGCGAATAAAATTGTGTTTTCAGTCAATCACCAAAGACTTGTTACTAACACTTCTATCTAGCATATTGATTTAATAGCTACGACGGGGGTTACGTTTTATATCCATACATATACATACGTTAGTTTAAGAGCATCTTCAATGGTATGTTAAAATAATCTTTTGTGTAAAATATACACTTTCACCTATGATGTGTAAATTTTTTCCATCTCCAGCAGTCTGTTAAGATACATTGCCACATCATCAATTAGGGGTAACAATATTTGACACGACACATTAACACGACACGAGATAAGCGTGTTTGGATTTGGGCTAATCGTGTTCGTGTCATAATCGTGTCGACACGGATTGACCCACTAACTAAACGTGTCGTGTTCGTGTTTGACCCTGTAAACATTATTATGATACGATTAACCCGATTAACTAAACGTATTAGATAAACGTGTCGTGTTCGTGTCAAAAATGACCCATTTAGCAAAACGTGTAGAATAAATATGTCGTATTCGCGTCAAAAATGATTTAAATGTGTCTTTTCGTGTCGTGTCAAGTCTTGACCCATTTATTAAACAGGTTATACGTGTCGTGTCGTGTTACACGTATAATAATCGTGTTGTGTTCGTGTCCCATTTATTAAACAGATTATACGTGTCGTGTCGTGTTACACGTATAATAATCGTGTCGTATTTGTGTCAAGAGTCTTAGACACAATTAATAATCGTGTCGTGTTCGTGTCAACTCTAATCGTGTTCGTGTCGCACGAACACGACATGCCAACACGAATTGCCACCCCACACCAATGTGTAAAAGGGTTGTGTATTTTACACAACCTATTTACATTGCCATATTAACATATTTTCTTTCTCATCCCTTTTTCTTGTTCTATTAAAAAATCAACCATATATTAAGTAGGTTTGTAAAAATTATGTGGGGTCCTGGCATGACACATGGTTGATTGTCACTGATAGATATATTTTTACATGACACATGGTTGATTGTCACTGATAGATATATTTTTACATAAAAGGTATATTTTTACATAAAAGGTTAAAAACAACCGTTGGAGCTAAAATTACATAATCTGAAATTTTGTATAAATTCATCATTACACATTAGATTTACAAAAAATAAAAAAAAATATACACAACGATTAGAAATGCTCTAAGATAAATAATTAAACTTACATTGCATTGGTGTTTTTTCAGTTTCATGCTAAAAAGCAGGCAGGGTTTCTTCCATTTCCTCGAACTTTCCCATTGGTACTTTTCTTTTTCTAATGACTATAGACGACAAGACTAAGGAAGGGGCTTGAAAGAGATCTCATTGTCCAAATATGTATATATATATATATGGCTTGGAAGAGATCTCATTGTCCACAAAAAAAAAAAAATAGAGAGAGAGAGAGAGAGAGAGAGAGAGAGGGGGGGGGGGGGGGGGGCTTGGTCATAAACGCTAAAGAAATTTATTGGGTATTGAATATTTCAAAGGGTTAACTTGTAAGCCATGGATGAGTGGATTCTTCGCATTGCGCAATTATATACTACTAATATATCTAATCCGTTACACTTTCTAACTTCACATTAATTTCAAGACTATGGCACAAAATTCTTTCATTAATAGCAACAAAGATAGAGAAAGTAAGTAGTAACACGTACGCACACAAATGTTCCACAACATCCGAACCACTAACCTTCTTACAAGGGAGGAAGGATTATACTGCTGAGCCTCTAATTAATTGGTAAAATAAATATAGAGAAAACTTAACAGCAAACAAGGTTTAGAATATCTAGCAATTTTTTTTTTTTTTAAAGGCTATGTTTGTTTGAGCATAAAATATTTTCTAAAAAAGATTTTGTGTTTTCCGGTGTTTGGTAGTCCTAAATTTAAAGAAAATCTTTTACGTCGCAAAATAATTTTTCAAAACTTAACTAGAACAACTTACCAATTAATCATCTGAAAATTATTTTCCAAACCTACCAATTTCACTTTCAACCTCCTCAACAAAAACATATGGCATCGAAAACGTCAATCAAGTACATGAAGAGTTACATAGTGGCCAAAAAAACAACCTAGAGAAAGAAAGGAATTAGCCGTTTAATAAAAAGAGTTTGTAGAGAGGAAAGAAAAGAGCTCTTTTACATGTACTATAGTGATGGAAACAAAGCATCTGTTAAGAGCATCTCCACTGACCTCTCAAATGGGCTCTCAAACTCAAAATATAGCAGGTGGATGAAACTAAGACACTCCAATGATCTCTCAAAAGACTTTTCATATTTTAAGATTCTCAAATGTATTATCACATATAGCAGCTTTCAAATGCCCTCTCAAACTCAAAAAACAGCAAGTGGTTGAATATAGGCACTCCAATGGACTCTCTAAAAAAACCTATCATATTTTGAGATTGTCAAAAATTACTAAATTGAAAATAAGGCACTCCAATGGACTCTCAAAATATGAAATGGTTGTTGTGTCAAAAAAATAACATTTTAAATAAAATGCACCACTGGAGCAGAATTGCAAAAATATAGCATTTTGACACTGTACCTCATCTCAAAAAATAAATTTGACGTAAAAATATAGCATTTTGCATTGAAGATACTCTAAGAGAAGAGTTAATAAGCCCCATACCTATTGTGGGGCATCCCTATTGTGGGGTTAGAGGTACGAAACCAATCTCTTCCTTAATAACAATTATACAATTTTGTATTTTTGGTTACTTTCTTCAATTTATTTTTATTATTATATATATTTTTGTCATTATTATTATCTTAGTGATTAATTTGTGGTACTACTTTCTAAAACTTCAAAAAGTGATACACAAAGTGGAGAGAGAGAGAGAGAAAAAAAAAACCTTCCTTGTTCTATTCGATAATAGAAAGTTCAATTAATTATTTATTTTAATATATTTTTTTCAAATAATAATTATTGTTGGTATAAAATTAATTGGACCAATTGAAAGTAAGAAAAAAATTGAATAATAAAAAAAAAACAAATAAAAATATTAATTTTAATTAAAAAATATTTTACATGAAATAATATTACATAAAAAATATTTTACACTCAAACAAACACACAGCCTAAAACTAATAATTGATCCTATTTATAATTAAAAGAAAAATTCTATTGTTCACTATTAGTTCTACTATTACAAATCCGTTTCCAGAAGTCTTTAATCTTTATTGTTGATTTTCACAATTTGTCAATCTCACGTCTCATTTGTTCATCCTTAACATCTAGGGTTCTCTAAAAATAAAAAATAAAAAAATAAAAAAACTAGTTGTAGATCTTAACTACTACATGCACACGTGTCCACCTATGCGTGCTAGGTATGGGACACCGAGGCAATGGGTCCACACTAGAGAAACTTCAATAACAGAGACAAAAATGCAATTGGGAGACGCTTTGTTGGAACCATATTTTTATGGGATTTCGATATGGAAAAGGAAAAGAAATTGAATTGTATTTGAAATCAAATTCTGAATTTAATTATAAAGATTTTTTATTTATTTATCTTTTTATTAATATTATATTTCACAATGACATATTGAGTAAGTTACAAATTCTTTAATTAAGTAATTTATAAATTTGACAAGAAATCACCAATTTGTTATGGGATTTGAGGTAAATGAAATAGCTTTTGGTCAATTTTTATGGGATTTGAATGCCCTGTATTTTGGGATTTCAAATCCTATAAACTATATATAATTCCTTATTAAATTTCATTCATTCTAAATACTGAAAATTTTGTTTTGAATTTTAAATTCCAACCTTTCAACTACATAAAATAAGAGAAAATTAAGAATAAACGTAATCAACATAAAAGAAAGTATGTAGTATTTGGAACCAAGGAAAGGAAAAGTAAAGCAAAGGAATATAAAGGAAAAGAAGAGAAGAGAATGAACTAGAAAGTGTTAATTTTAGTTTGTTTGATTGGTGGAAAAAGATTCAGGAAAAATAAAAGAAGCAAAAAATGAAAACATAAAATAGAGGAAGAAACGGAATAGATGTAAACAAGAATGGATATATATATCTATATTTTTATAAAAATTGTTATTCTCTTGTTTGGTAGGTAAAGAAATTAAAGAAGAAAAGGAATAAAAAAAGGAAAAAACTTATTTTGTTTCTTAATTTGATTGTAAGAGAAAATAGTAGATTTTAACTTTTCCACTCTTTTCTTTATAAACAAACTACCATAGAAGTAAAGAAAAATTATACACACGCAAATATAAATCCTTCGCACGTGTGGAGTTGTGTTTGACTTGAATAATAGGGCACGGAGGGTACTTTAGGAAAAACATACGACAGACAAGGGTAGTTTAGGTACAAAGTCAACCATAAATACGTGGTGAGAGCACTCTCTGTGATTATCTATGCACAGAGGCCGCTAGAGGCACAGAGATTTGGTAAGAAGAAGAAGGAAAAAACCCTAGAAGAAGAGGAGCGACGAAGACGAAGCTTTATTGACGACTGTAGATCGACGGTTGATGTTCATTGATCGATCGAGTTCAATCACTAGGCTTGTTGTCGCTGATTGAAGCTTAGAAGAAGAAGAAGAACCGAAACTTCGTTATTCTTTATCACGATTTCAAGATCTTTTCTCAACATTCGTTGAACGTCTCTCTTTTGTTTAATCTCCGAAGTTCCGTCAGATCATCAATCGTCGCTGCGATTGTAATCGAAAGAACAGGTATTGAAAACCCTAGTTTTTGATTTAATACGCTTTTTTTTATTGGTTGTTTATCTTCAATAAGAGGAGAGCGAAGGGTTCCATCGTCTCAGGATTTTGCCAGATCTTCGATTTCAAAAGGCATATTTAGGGTTTTACTGAAGAAGACTAAACGGGAGGTTCATGGACAGCCGTCAGTCGGTTTCAACAGATGAGCTATATATGTATATATATATGTCGGAATCGATCCAAAGAGATTCGTCGTCGTGTAGTTTTTAGGTAGGATTCAATGTGCGAAGCTACAATCTGGATGGAGACTGTTTCGTGTCTTTGTTGATAACGTGAATCTTCTTCATGCTATTTTGTCTGGTTTCTCTGCTTCGCTGCTTGTGATTCGATTCAAACAAGCTGCTTCGAAAACACCACATCTGGAACTTCTTGCAGGAGAATTGTTAGGGTTTCTGCATATAATTGATCTAGAAATTTATTATGAGCTATTCTTTTAGCACCACAACCGTAGAACGCGTAAGACAAAATTGGCTTTGCGGATGCGTTTGTAGGGTATCTTCCTCTGACGCTCCGGTTTTTTGCCACATACCGAAATACTATAGTCCTGGCACTGAATGACCAACAAATTGTTAGGGCTTACTTCAGGATCATGCTGAACGCTAAGATTGTCTATGCATCTCTCAAGCTTGCTTGTAGATCGGATGGATATTTTACTCCTAGCCTTTCACATCTATTGGATCTGTAGGTTATGGCTGATATTTTGTATTTTTAGTTTCCTAAATTCGAACACTTTGTTTGCAGAAAGCTGCTGTTCTTGTGCTTCATATTCATCTTGGGTTAATTCAAGAGAATTGGGCCTTTGGAGTTCATATTCAAAGAAAGGGAAATTTTATCGTAGCAAAATCTCTTAGATGATTATTGCTGACCCTTTGTTTAATTTTTGAGATGGGTCTTTTGAAGGTTGTGGGTGCAAAACTTGAGATCAAAGGATCTTCTCCTCTAAAGATGATTACTATTGTCATGGTGGTTTTGGAATTTTTATGGGTCATCAGTCTGTTGGCACGGTTCGGATGTTCTTGGGTCGGCTTTCAGTTAGTACAAGTCAGATAACTTGTTTGAATATGTAGATTGCTTTGATGCCTTATTTGGCATTGCATGAAGTAAAAATAAGAATTCTTGCACAATATGTTATTCTGATGGATTTATAGGTTCCAATTTTGGGTGTCATTTATTTCACTTATTGAAGTGATGGCTTCAATGTGATTCCCCTACAATGTTACCTGAAGTCTTTATTGTCCTTATTTATTTGGTTGCAAGTAACTTTTAATGTTAGGAATCAGCTATGTCTAAAGCTACAATGTGATCTGAGGGAGTTTTTGCTGGCCTGAAAACTTGTTACCACCATCTGCCCCAAGGTAATTGCCTATGGAGGCATATGCTGGAAGTTGATGGCTTGATGACCATTCTTTTTTATAGTCATACAAAATTTTCTTGTAGTATGTGCTTGTAATGCTTATTAGTGTTCTAATTTTGTACATTTTAGAGTTGAGTAAACCTCTGGCACTAAGAATTATGAATTATGCTATGATATTGTTGATATTTAATTAATATAGAGATATTGATGGAGTTAATCATATTCAGTTATATACTGTGTGGTTGATGTTTTCAATACCTTTGAAAATATTCTTGAAAAATTTAATGAATCTTGAGTGATTTGTAAATTTTGAATTTGTACAGTGGATATGAACCAAAAACATACAGCATTTGGAGTATGTTATATTGATGTTCAGAAATATGAAAGTTGTTATCGTTCAAAATATGGAGCTGTTATACATGAACACCATAGCTTGTTATTTTAAAAAATATTTGATTACTATCTCAACCCATGTTTTTTATGGTCTATCACTTCCCTCATCATTCCCTCAATGTGGAACCACTGCTATTTCTTGTTGTATGATTGATCTTTGTTGCATATGACCAAATCATCTTAATTGCTTCTCTCTCATTTCAGTCCATTATGCTACCTCAATTTGTTCCTTTCTAATTTTATCATCTTCTCTTGCCACGCATCCGTCTCAATACTTTCATTTTCTCACTGTTTATTGGTGGATGTTGTCTTCTTCAGGGTTGGGTAGAAAAGGAAATCAAGTAGCAAAAGCATCCTGTAATGCTCGTGTGGCAGACCATTAGTTGATGGAACAGGACCTCTATCAGCAAGCATGCTTGGGTCAGTTGATCTAGAACTTACAAACTTTATCGATCCCGACTTAACTTGGAAGACAGTGAAAAAAGGTTCCAGGAGTTCATCTAGACGCTCTAGGAGACCAACTGGGAGAAGCTTGAATATTGGTATGCAACTGGATGATAAAAGCCCCAAAGGGGTGGAGGATTCATCAGTTTCTGAACCGGAGAAGGTACATTTTCTTCTTCTATCCATGATGTGTATAACCAGTTAGACTCTAAAATCTCATGATGTTAAACTCTTTGTCCATTTGCAGCTTGGTGTAGCTGTTCTTGGCCGACGCTTTGCTGACAAGGTAGAGCATGTACCAATCAAGAAAAGGAGACTTTTGCTCCGGTCTCCATCACCACCACATCAGACCCCTCTGGCACAGCACGAGGAGCCTCTATCACCGCGATCTCAGACCCCTTCACACCCTGAAGAGCCCAAGCGGCTTCTAGATGATAATTGTGCTTCTGATCGTTGGTGGTATTCAAATTCAGTTTCCAAGCAGAAGATGGGGGCATTCGATGGTTCTATAGCAGTTCAGTTACGTCAAGATGTTGATGGTGGAGTTATGATCGGGAAACTTGAGGACTTCTCAGGTATTGCACTTCTCGCAGCTGCTGCCTGCAATAATAGCATTGGTGTTGATGTTGATCATGCCAAGGAGGGTGAAGTGGTGGAAGAAATTTTGCCACAAGAAGGGAACGAATCATCTTTATCTGCCAGACCTTTAAAAGAAACTATTACATCTTCTGAAGAAGTCAATTTGCAAACAGGGTCTGTATATGAAGATAACATGGATGGTTCATTTGTTCACGATAATTCTGTGTCTGTTTCAAGGAATGAGGATGATGGGGAAGTGAAATGTTCTGTTCCTTCAAAAGATGGCCGGTTACACTGGGACTTGAATACTGTGATGGACGCATGGGAGCAACCCTGTGCTGATTTAACTATTCATTCTCAAAGAAATGCTTCAGAAGGTGTGTCAGGTGATGGTGGACACATTGAAAAGCTGGAGAATTTGGACAGTTGTGAGAAACAAAGGGTTGTTGACGATAGCCAAAATGATATAGAAAGTAAGGTGCAGTCTAAGGTGTGCGAAACAGTTTCTGCGCAATTTGAAGCATGCTCAGGAGCTGAGAGGACCTGTTGTGAAGAAAAATCTGTTTCTGCATCAATAGAACATGCTCTGGCACCTTTAAAATATGCTAGTGCTGATACACAAGCTTTAACCCAGGTGGTCAGCACTGACACATCCCTTGATAAATTCTCCTGCTCTGTTTCAGATCATATTTCAAGCAGCGCATGTGTATCTGAGGAAAAGATAAATGCAACTCCCATCTGCGTTGTTAAGCAGATCAAAGAAGATTGTTGCAGAACTACCATGCAACTTGGGGAAATTGTATCTTCAGAAGGTGTTCAGCTCGGGAAGCTTGATGGTCATTTCCCTGATGTGCCAGTCTCAGAGAAAGCTATGTGCGAGATTGACAGCATTCCTTGTAAAGATGGTGGTGGGGATTCTGGAAAAACATCTGGGTTGCTTGATAATAGGACTTCACCAAAGGAAGAGATTAGCATTACCACCTGTCAAACATTAGATGTTGATTCTTTGAGTAAATCAGATAAAATAGGTCCTTCTGGTCCTTCCCATCCTTCACCCAAGTGTGAAAATTCGTCTGCACTAGGAACCTCTGATGTGGAAGGCCTACCTGTTGCAAGTCTTGACTTGAAAGAACAAGATGATAATGCTTCTGCAGCTGGTACTTCTCTAAATGGTTATGCATTATGCCTTGAGCCTAAGGAGCTGCCAGAGTCTTGCAGAAAAGTTGTAGTCCTCTCGCACGAGTCATGCAAACCTTATGATAATGGTCCCGGTATAGAAGATCCTTCTGATGATTGCTATAACTCAGATGTTTCTCCTGATGGTAGGGGAAACATGGTTGATGTGGATATGACTGAACTACAGACAGGTTATGATTCTCCATTTGAGGATGGAGAATTAAGGGAGGCAACTGCATATTCCTGGGAGGAGAATGAAGTTGAAGGAGAAACCGAATTTGTGGACTATGAGTCTGATAATGGAGTCACAGAGGACTTTGACGCCGCTGGTTTTACTATGTCAGAAAAAGTTGAAGTTGAGGACTGTGGCACAGGAGCTCCTTTAAAGGAACCAAGCCGTTCTGCAAGTTTAAATACAAAATTTTCTGGACGGGATCAATTGCCTGAAGGTCGTGAATGTTCTACGGATAGGACAGGGGAAGTTAATGATGTTAGCCTACAAAAAATCCATACTTCTGATTGCATTGATGGGCTTGATGTGAAAGGTTTTTCCATGGCGGAGGTTAAATCAAGGGCATCTAGGGGGAAGCTGTCCTCACAGGTTGAGGGAACATCATGTTCTGATGAAATACAGGGCAAGGGTGCTGTATTTATACCGCGGAGCAGGTTACTTATTTATATTTGTTATCTTTTGGTTTTCCAATGAACTTCTTTAATTGATTGATTGCTAATTATTCTCTCTCTCACTTTTTTTTCTCCTCAGGAACATTGAAGGTTCATACTACCGACCTGAAAGGGAGTTTGATTCTGAGAAATTCCTGGGAAGGGACAGATCCATGCTGCAAATGCATGACAGAAGCCAGGATGATGGTCACTGGGTTGATTCTTCAGCTGGCTATTGGGATTCAAGGAACCGTTATTCAACTAATTCTCATGTTCCGCATGGTCCTGGACATGCCAGGCGAAGAAGCCTTATTGCAAATATGGCTGCAAAGGTTGAGGGACTACCTCGTGATCACAGAAGACCTATAAATTATTCCTCGAGAGGTGGGTATAGGCCTCCCATGAGGAGATCACCAACTGACAGGGATGATGGTTACGGGGTGCATAGGAGAATGCTACCAATGAGGGACATTAACCGTAGTAGGAGTGGGGACAGGTCTGTAATATTGCGACAAGGGGTGAGTAGAGGCCTCAGGGGTGAATATAATCGGCCTGGTTTTGACGACCCTGCATCATCTGTTCGTGTGCCACATTATGTGGCCAGGAGAGAGCGAAGCTTTTCCCCCATTCCCAGCAGAGGTGCTCATTTTCCCCGATCCCGCAGGAAATCACGGTCAAGATCCAGAACTCGTTCTCCTCCCCTTGCATGGCATTTGCAGAGAGAGAGAAATGTGGGTGGTAGATGCGACAGTAGATCTCCAGATTTCAGGTCTGAGGGCCGAATGAAGAGAATGAGGATACCCTTTCAGAAGTCCAGTTTTCCAGCATACGAAGAAGAAAGTTTCATGCCCCTGCCAGGTGGTCGGATTTCCCCAAAGTATAATTCGAGATTGATGAATGATCGGAATTCTGTGGGTGATCATTTTAGGGACAGGTCACCGCCGCCTGTGAGACAGTTTCAGCGGAGGCAAAGATTTGATTTGGTGGGCGATTCTCCTGGAAGAGTAAAGTCGGACAATTACTTTAGACCTATGGTACGTCGTGGAAGATTCAGTGGGATGAGTGGAAGCCCTGGTAGGGGTCATAAATTTGATGGCAGTGATGATGATAGAAGGAAACCAGGTGGTGAGAGGTACGAAGAAATGATGATTCGTAGAGTGAGGCGCTATGATAATGGTGGTGGTGTGGTGAGGCGGTTCCACTATGAGAAAGAAGAATGTTTCGAGGCGCATAACAACAACAACAACAACAACAACCATAACGAGGATGAGTGCATTACCACGACGACGCGTACTACTGGGAGAAGGATGTATATAAGGAATAATGGTAGGGAAGAGAGGGGGGGCGGCACAATGCGATATAACAACAATGAGAACAGCAGGATGTATATAGGTAGCCCCAAGTCATCTGGAATTCGAGATTTTGAGGAGGATGCATCACCACCCAGAAAAGGATGATGACTTTTGATGGCTTCTTTTGGATTTTCATGTGCCTTCTTTTCCTTGTGGGGGTTGGTTGGCTTTGCTGGTAGGTTAGGAGATCGATCTTTACACCTGTTCCAACATTTCCAGTTCTGTTCTCTTTTAGAGAGAAGCATTTCTAATTTTAATCTCTCTTTTTTTTTTTTTTTTTTTTTTTGCCTGATTTTAGTCCTTAGTAGTGCTCTAGTTTTTTTGCCATCTGATGATTTACTTATTAGGCTTCTTGCTCTTGTTTTAATTTTCTTTGATTTGTATTTTTTTGGTTCCTTCTCCCTTTTCCTTTTGGCCGCCTCGGCTATTGTTACCTCTATATATCAAGTCATAAAGATGAATTGAGTTATTAAAATCTCAATTTGTATTTATTCAATTTTCCTAGCTAATATTCCACCGTCATATGTGAATTTACCATATAATTGTGGCCGTGAGCATTATATTATTTTTTTAACGACGGTGGTAGTGCCGGGATTGCTTTCGTAATGATGATAATAGTCGAAGCACATTTTCGTAATTCTGGGTGTGGAATGTGTGTTTGAGGTTGGGAACTTTACCTGCCTGTGTTTGGAGTTTTGGTCTCTGGAGGATATTATGCCTGACGATGCTTTAAAAACAAATACATCAACAATGGTTGGTGGTGGTGTTTATTTTAGAGAGAATTAAAAAACTATATGGACTTTAGTGGGCATTCTGTGGAGAGATAAGGACTTGTTGCTTAAAAAAGAGGAAAGCGAGTTGATGATAAAAAAAAATATCTTCAGTCAACTTTAGCATTGAATGGGATGGGATTGTGGAGAGAAATGCAGCACAGATGGTTTTCGTTGACCGGGTGATATAGTTTAAAATACTGAAGAGGGGCTTCTTCAATCACGAATTGATTTGTTTATAGAAGAATATAATATAAAGAGGCCAAGTTCAATTTTGAAACATAATCACAGCTACCAGCATCCAATGGGAGTTGCTCATTTGGTCTTGTTACCGACACACATTTATTGTTTGTCGTCCACGATAAAGTAGAATAGTGGATGGTATCCTGCGTCCGAATACTTGGGTCTCATCAGGATTCACATGTGGCTACCCTCACCAAATATGTTGATGTACTCATTTAATTTAGGTGCCCTAAAAATATAGAATGATTTCTTTCAACTACAACAATATGAAATCCACTTTTTTGCTGTTCACTACACACTTGCTTTTGATGTTTTAGGCAATGCCAAATATAAGCAATAATAACTAAAATTGATCAACAATTTTTTAATATATATTATGAAAAATAATTTTAAAATGCATAAATTACTCTAATAGTATAATATAGTATACAAAAGAATGACAAAATTGTTATTTTATAAAATTTAATCAATGTAAGTGTGCTGAAAAGAAAAAAATTAAAGATTGTCAATTTAACAGACACCTCAAATTTAAAAAATAAAACTAATAAATGTTAAACCGTCTTATCAATATGTAATTTTTGTCTCACATGGTTTGCCACCACCATCTCTGACACCACCACCACCACTATTTCTAACAGCATTACTGTTACCTATCTAGTATTTTCCCCGATGTTGTTCGCTATTTATGGAAGGATGCTTCTCGCATTATTGAATAACTCAAAATTTCAAGAAAATATATGACCAAATACAAATGTGGTTTGACCGACTTAGACCTAACAGGAAATTCAAGAAAAGGAGGGGAATGAAAAGAGTGTGTTATTCCAGTGAGGAATGCTAATTATAGTTGCGCACTGTCCATTCAGAGTCATCAGTTATGATAGGTTAGTTTTGAATGCATTAATTAGTTTGAAATTCTAATTTTATGGGACTCTACTAATATTACTTTTTAGACAAAAATACCCTTTTAAATTATCTAATATTTCTTCTTCTCTTCTCCTTTAATTGAGTATGTGTGGTTAGTTATGTAATAGGATAATTTATTCACAAGAGAAGAAGAAAAAAAAAAAAAAAAAGAGAGAAAAAAATCCAAAAAGAATAAAAAGAAAGGTAAAAAAAAATCAATTATATATTTCTTCCTTCTTTTTTTTTCCTATATATATATATATGTGTGTGTGTGTGTGTTTCTTTTTGTTTTTATTTTTAATTTTTACAACTATCCTTGTATAAATGGATTTAAAAAAAAAAAAGGAAATAAAAGAAAAGGAAATAATTCCTTCACCAAACAAGAAATATATACGTGTATAAAACTAATTTTGTATATATATATTTTAAATCTCAGAATCTATCTTGTTCTTTTTCGGATTTTTTTCTCTTATTATTATTATTTTTACCTCAGGATTTATTTATTGTGAATGAATTATCCTATCTAACTTTTTTTTTTTTTTTTTTTTTTTTTTTTTTTTTTTTTTTTTCAGAGATAAGAAGAAAGACATAATTTACAAAGGTATTTTTGTCTAAAAAATAATGTTAGTAGAGTCCTTAAAAATAGAAACTCAAAGTAATTAATGCATTCAAAACTAACTAATCCTAACTGACAACTGTAAATGGGCAGTCGCTTCCGCGACTGCAATTAGCATTTCTTTATTCTAATATCATTTTTGCTTTTTCACTGAATGTTGAATCAAAATTGTTAGATAGGGTACGTAAATCATGATAATTTTGAACCTCAATTCACCCTGCGCTTTTAAACAAGACTTGGTTTAAGTGTATAACAAAAGAAAATGGACATTGAACAATTTGCTTAGATAATACGTGTATAACAGCACAAACAATAACAAGCCCTCTTTTCCACTCACAATTGTAGAAGAAAATAACATATCTGACCATGCGTGCGAACACACACACACACACGCACAAACATGGTACTACATGCATCACCAGTTAAAGCTAATGGACTCAAAATACAGGTTATCTGCTAAACCAGATGAACATATCTTAGCAACCTCATGACGCATCTTCCTTGGGCCACAAACCAAAACTCCAACATCCGATCCTTTGCATTCGAATAGTATTTCTGCAATGCCAACATACAAACTTAGTTTCATGAGTTAAATACATTTATGGTTTGGCCTTTAGCATGAGAATTACTATTATCAAAACAGCAACAAACTTACTCTTGAGATCAGGCCTTGTACCAAAATGCACCTTAGTAGCTTGAACAAGGGACTGGTGTGGAAGACTTTCGAGCTCTCTGTCTGCACCACATAACCATGACCCCAGTGAAGTTGTTGGCATTGGCACTTCCAAGTTCTGAATTTGATTCCTTTCTATGTTGTTTTGTTTCTTTTGCCAGAGAAAAATGGCACTAGATTCTATAAACACACACACACACAAAAGAAGGATTTCCCATAGAGTTCTTAAGGTGAAATGGTAAATCTTGTCAGTGTTGTGATCAATGGGATATATATAGTAACGAGTTAGAATCCCCAAGAAGACGAGAAACATGGCAAAGGAGGAGGAGATTGTTATGCCGAGCCAAAGACTACTGTTGGGACCAAGCACTGCAGAAATAGGTGAGTCCATTGGATTTGGCTTGAACCATATGGTATGGAGGAGCTTCTGAATATCAATGACAGGCTGCTCTTTTTCTCTGGTCACATAGGCTTCTATTTGCAACCGTATTGTGGATACTTCTAGAGGGGTGCCAGTTACGGGAAGCAATAGGTCTAGCATAGTGAGATCAGCTGAGTTCTTGAAGGCACAAACAAGAAGAATTCTTGGAATCCTGCAGTTGGGATGGGTGCTTCGAAACAAGATCTCCCGGATTATGGAGATGAAAGGAGCGATGCCGCTGCCTCCACTCACCATCACCAGCGCCTCTCGTCTGTGACAAGATCCATCAAACTTAATGAGCATCTAGTCAAGGGGCAATGGAGCATGAGACAGTACCACCACAATTAATTAATTGCGTTTGGACAATGCTTTAAGGGTGGCATCAAACTGCTAGAAATCAAATCTGTTTTTTTCAGCTCTTTCTGTGTTAAGGGATGATTGTAGGGAGGCCAAAGGTTGTCTTGTTAAAACGGTTGCGTTAAACATGGTTAATACACATTCTGCAACTTTTTGTTGCTAAGCTTTTTCCTCTAAGGTTTTAGAATTGATTAGGCAGAGAGTGTGTTCTGTATCTTTCTATTTTGGTAGTCAATATATTTCTCTTAACACACACACACACAAACAAAATTCTCTATACTATCTAAATGTAAAATAAAAGTAAACCGAACAACATGGTATCGAAACAACCTAGCAAAGGACAAACCAAGGGAAGTCACACCCTTCACACACAGTAATCAACCTTGTACTGAAGTTTTCTTTAGTCTTGAAACTGACCTTAGAAAATGAGATGAGGTGGGCCCATAGGGTCCTTCAATGGAGACTTGAAGTTGAAGATGGTCTGTAGAGGAAGAAAGGTCTTGGTAGAGCTTTTGAGTCCAACTTCCCTGACTTTTGACTGTGATGCTGAGCATTTCTGGCTCCACATGGCAGTTGGAAGTCACAGTAAAAGGGTGCCACTGCAACTTGGAGATGCTAGGCACATTTACAAATAAGATGCTTGTGGGGTTATACTTCAAGCCTGCCAAAAAAGATTGTATTAAGAGTTTGATGTACCAAAAAATATTTTGTCAATTTTCTACCTACGGATAAAAGATTGTAGAAATGTAGCCTCACCTGGACTTTTTGAGAAGTTCAGTTCAACAGTGCCACAAGGTAAAAGGCGAGATGAAACCAATCTAGCCCTTTTTTGTGACTGTAAGAATCTTAAGTATCGATCAATTAGGAAGAGAAAAACCCCTGGAAGGATCATGCAGAAGTAGGCGACTCCAACGTGCAATATGTAAAAGAACAGGTAGAGAGTGTAGAGATGGTGGGTGTAAAAGAAAACCTCAAACATCTTTCTCCTAACGCGTGGAATGCTTGTTGCCCACATTGCTAATGCAAATACAAATGCAATCTCTCCAGCTACATTGGGTACCCAATCTCTGCTCCATTTTAGCATCTGCATCGTCAAAATCTCATTCAGTCCACATTAAAAGCACAGTGAGAGAGAGTCCGAGAGAGCAGTACCATCTAATTTCAGCATCCATTGCAGAATATAAACATCATGCAAGAACTGCATACACATGCCTGCCATGTTCATTACCAAAATATTTTTTGGTGGTTGAAGGTTGAGAGTTAATACAGGAAGTAAAGGAATAATAATAATACTCCCTCGGTCCATAATATAAATAGATGTTCCTTATGGGAAGTAAAACTTTTTAAAGGGACATGTAATTATTGCATGGTCCCTTATTGGAACTTTTTAAGGGGACATGTCATTAACTTTTGTTTTTCTTATGGGACCAAAATAATAATAATAATAATGAGGAAATTTTGCTAATGTTCTGAAATTCATTGTAATAATTTTGAACATAATTTTTTTTTCCTAGTTAGTACTCACACACACTTATCTCTTCTAAAACTTAAACCCTGACCTCCCTTTGGGAGGTAAGAGGCTAATACCGCTAGGCTACCAGCTTGTTGGTAATTGTAAACATAATTGAACCGTATAAAATAAAATGGGGTTGGCTGTGCTTGATGTATAGGGTCCTTATGATTTAAGTATTTTCCACAAAATTGCAGAAAATTTCGCTACGCACAAACTCAGATCATCACATTGAACGGTTGAATTCAAACATAATTTGCGGTGTGATATATTAGTGGAGCGCCTTGTCATGTCAGTTTCAGAGATGATAAATGGTGCCTATGATACTAATTAACATGGTCCACACCATCAATAATTCATCCTTTTTCCTTCATAAAGTAAAAAGGTAGAGGAATCCAAGTCTACCTTCAGATTTTCTCTAGTACTGTCAAACAAGAAAAACAACACTCTTTGATTGCAGCAAAGAAAGGCACACGAAAATTCCAATCACACACAAAAGAAGAGGAGTCAAAATCTTTTATCCCACCACAAGTAGCAACAAACAAAATAAAAGAAGAAACAAGACTAAAGACTAGAATATCTAAGGAAACAAAAAAGCATAGCATTATTGAGTGCAAGTACCTCAGCCATTTGATCAGTCATAGCCCAGTAGATGAAGAAACCTATGCTATGTGCTGAAAAAAGGATCATTGAGAGATGTCCAAGCCAGATATGATACTTGATACTGGACTCTGATGTGAGACCAACAAGAGGCAAAATGGAAGATCCCCGAGTAACGGGAAAGAACAAAAATGCCCAGCATATGTTACCAACATATCCGAGTCTCAATGATACACTACGGAACTTAGCTTGCCACCTGCCAATGCCAACCACAGCAGAGCAATTACCTTACAGAAATTAAAACCTCTGAGTTAGAAAGGAGGCATATGTTTGCTTAGCAAAGTGAATGGTTTTGAACTAGGTGGTACTAATACAAATATAGGCTATTATCATAAGAAGTAACACATAAAATGGGATAAACTATGGATATATAACCAACCTAAGAAAAAAAAGAGTTACATAAATTCATTATAAATAGTTATTGGGAATTTAACTGAAGCATTGTCACATACACTTTCTCCCCATGTTTATGCATATGAAGGTGACCAAAGCTAACATGTAAGTAGTTAGCAAGAGACCAGATCAGAAGTGCAACAAACATAGCAGCAAAAGCAAGCTCCATTGCAGTAACAATTCCCAGAGGAGCCAGCACAAGTACCGGGCGTCTCCAGAAGGTTAGACGGTGGTTCTTAATGGCACTACAACCAGTTCAACATATGAACATATTGTTAGTCCGTAGATCATATGACTCAAAACAGCTTGCTTTAATTTTTAAGTGATAAAGGGGGAAAAGTGAAGACAAATGTCCAAAGAAATACTAACCTTTCAGAGTGAGACTTCTCTTGTTTCGTCTGAAACTGAAGATAAATGCAACCTAAAGCAGCTATGAACATCATGGGGAATGTGAAGAGCAGAAGATTTATCCCTGAAAAAGTGGTACAGTTAGCACACAATATCTTGAAGTGGTGGAGGTCAGGTTTAAGCAAGAGACTAGCGCGCGCACAAATACACACAAAGTGAAGTGTACATGCAAGAGACCAGAACAAAGACCATGACATACAAATGAGCAAACAAAAGCAAACCTTGCCCTCCAAAATATGTTGAATTGAGCTTGTTATTTAGCTTTGGAGTCCATGCATTTTTGTAAGTCTTTGTTGGCAACATAATCCAAACCAGAAGCCACCCAAGAAACACAAGAACAAAAATCATTCTTAGGTTTGCGTGGCTGCTCATATTTTTCACTTGGTAGTTTTAGTGGAAAAGGCCTTTTCACTGAATTGGGATCTGTTATTCAATACAATCAACTTTCTAATATGCTCTAAAAAACTTCACTGATCTATTTATAGAATTCGCAATGCTTTGTATGTCATCATGTGTAACATTACAAAGAACAGCATGATTCATGCACATCCGCACAATGTTGTGTAGATGAAGTTCATTGTATAGGCTTCTCAACTAGTGATATGGATATTTGTTAAAAAGTCGGAATAGTTGCATTCAAATGTTGCCCATTAAACAAAGGAAGAGTCAGTATATATTTTAGAGTTTTGTTGATTATTTATATCTCAAAAAATTCTTTCAGGTGACAACAAAGAGTGATACATCCAAGGTGAAAGATAAATGAGTGAATACATTGTTATTAAGGCAGATCAGAATTGATGTAGGACCCTAGGTTCAATGCCCTTCACCAGGTGACCAAGTGAACTGATGACTTGATGTTTTTTACAGTGAGCTTTCTCTTCATCATACAAGTGAACCTAATACATATTAACTGTAAGCAAAAAATCTTAATATTCCAAAAGTCATATGCATCTGAACAAATTACTTTCAGGTCTTCCCACAGTCTAAAAGGCCCTATGGATGAAAATGTGAGTTCCAGAAAATTTATATTACACGGACTCTTCAAAAGTATGTTAAGTATTCGTGTCAAACACACACGATACTTAGACATGAGTATGAAACATGTGTCCAACACTTTTGGTCGGATATGCATCTAAAATCATATCTGATATAAAAATGTTATTTATTCTAGAAGATAAAAGAAAAACGTCAAATAATACAAATATTTAGCAATGGCCCTGTGTCCTTGTGTTAGTGGATTTGGTAGATTCGATGCTCGGACACATACCCATGGCCCATGACATTTACTGGAGTCCATGCACCATAGCAAACAATTGACCACATGTATAGTTGATATTTCATTTTCTTATAAAGCAAGGGATGCCTTTTTATTATTCCCATTATTCATATAAACTTGCAGAATTTTTTTTAAAGTATTGCAACCCTGCAGTACAGTTAGAGTACTAGGTAGAAGTGAGAAAATATGCTGTGTGTGTGTGTTTTTGTGTGTTGCAGTTGACATTTTGGTGGGCAACATGCATATATAAAAGAGCATCACACATAATCAGCAGTATTCAATTACCTAAACAAAGAATTCGTAGACCAGAAAACAGAATGTGGAACAATTGTAGTTTTATGAACTGGAAATTTGTCATATCCAATATCACCATCATCATGAGATCCTATCAATCTTCTTGAGTTTATTATGTACTAGTTCATTTAATTGACTTCTAAAGTGATGGGAGTTTAAGGTTTGTCACTGCTTATACATTATTGAGTTGAAATCATCTGTTCTTTTGTCACAAGCACACGTATCCCTACGCAGTTCACGTGCAAGAGAAATTATTTAAACAGTTCCGACTGCAAATAATTGAATCACAGATTTTAACAAGTCATACACAATAATTGTATCATTAAACTTTATCAAGAAACGAAAGTGCAGGCCTCCAACTGAGCAAATTTAGATTCCAGTTTGCGTAATTTGGCTTATTATATTGACCCACAATTTTTTTTTTTTTTTTTTGAGTTGAGCATGATAATTAACAAGTAATAAAATCCGATCAAGCTTGGCATGTTTATCTGATGAGTCTATTACTGAATGGATTATGAATTGCCACTTGCTCTATTCATCTTACAACACTAACCACTATCATGCCATTTCATCAAGTATGGGGACCAACATTTATGGATCTGCTTCAAAAGATCAAAGGAGTAAAAACTTTTTAACTGAAGGTCTAACCAATAAAAGGGAAAAAATTGACTCACTGAACAAATAGCTTCTTGTAGAGAGTACTGAATTGTATTATTGGTGTAACAAAGAAGAACTCCCCTACAATAAATGATGGTATTATATCTTTCACGACATTTTTAGCCAAGGAGTTGAAAAGAAGTAACAGGATGCCCCACAGCAGCAAATTGATCATCACTAAAAGGTGGCAATCGCGAATTGATCAGTTTCTCCAATGAATTTATTCAAACATGCTGCTACTTTTATTGCACAAAATATGAATTGGCAATTACATAGGTTACAGATCAGCCCAGCCATTGTATTCAGCATTAGCTTTACATGTACTTGAGAACTGCAACTCCAAAACCAATGCCAAGAAAAGTTGCAATGGCAATTCCAAAAATGCCAGCAAGAATACCAGGAACCACTAAAGAACTCCATCCTTTGGCTGTTGCCATCCCACAAGCCGTTGTAGGGCCTCCAACATTAGCATTCGATGCCAAAAGCAACAACCTGAGGTCAAAGCGAAAAAGCTTTCCCAGTCCAAGGATCACGACAAGATGTACACCAATCTGGACAAGAGCAAACATGAAAATGCTGGGCGCTGTATTAATAACGTTCCATATGCTCCCACTTGCACCCACCACAGTAAAAAATACCTGTTGCTCCAAAAAAATGGAAAATGGCAAGTCAGCTCTTGATGCAAAAGAAAGAAAGACAAACTCAGCTTAATCATAATAAAGAACTAGGGTTCTTTATCTGCATAGCCTCAAGCGTTTTTTTCAGATCAGTGCATAGCCTCAAACGTATTTTCAGGAGTTAACATAATCTAGTATAGAGTTGCCAGACTAATTTGCCAGTACTTCTCTCCCAATACACAAAACTAAGCAGTGCTCTACCACACTCCAGTTATAAGTATCCCAATCATGTATCACTGCAGCCAATGAGGCTCATAGGGGCAGCCCTCATTTTCCACTTCTTTGGGCATGCACCTTAAATGGTTGGTTCCATTATGAAGCTTTACTGTTATTGGTCATTTACATTGCTTAAGAAAAATAAAATTGGGAAAAGACAGCAGTGGTAATAATTTTGTAAATAAAGTAGATGAGGTAAAAGCTAAATTGCATCCCTGCTCTTAAGCAATAAAGCACCCATCTCTTCCCTAGCCATAACCACCCAATATCTTCTCCCATCACAATTGTTCAAATTCCACTCTAGAAGTAATATTATTTGAATACCATGTGGTTTTCATCTCAAATACGCATTACACATGCCATTCCCACTATTGTTTCTGCACAACAGTCCTGTAACTCAAATATTTCTCAAAATTTTCGTTCAAACATATAATTCTGAAAACTTATGCTGCTCACATCTTCCTTATCCGAATCAAGATCTATTTCCAGGTTCTTGTAGCAGTGCTTCTAAAATGCATGCTAGCCTAATTGAACAACCTCAAGGTTCATAAGAGTGGGGAGGGGCGCATCCAACAAAGCAGGATCTCCAAGTAGTTCAAATATAATGCCTTACTGAGTTGAATCATCTTCCAACAAAAGCAAGAGGACTCTATGACAGCTTCACGAGGAAAACTAAGGGAAAATAGAACGGTTGAAGTTACCATAGAAAAATGCAAGTGGACTTTATAGTAAACAAGTGCTTCAAAATGATGGAATTTGAGTAGAAGTAGAGGAATTCCGCTAGAAACTAACTTGCCTGCATTAGAATTAGAGCCATAGCCTCACCAGAAGGGGCAAGGCGACGAAAATGTGTTGGAAATACAGTTGCTAGAACAACAACGATTGCCGTAATGACCGGAAGGCTACCTCCTTCAATTCTAAAATAGTTTGTAAAGAAAATGGCAATCCTGCAGATGGCAAAGGAAACAGCAATTGATGTAGCAGTCTGCAGAACAGGAAGTTTGTTGCCTGATTCTGACTCCATATCCATTCCAGCATCTGCCAAAGTTACAGATTAATTAGGACTGGGTTATGGCCGGAATGGCATTCATCTGTTACCATCATTTTGATGCCAAAAGATCATTGTGAGGATGGATGTTTAACTATTGACAACGAAAAATACAAATGGAAAAATAATAAAAGAATATGGACAAATCATTAGTCACTCCTTAAAAATATAATGAACATACATCTCATACTAAAAACTGAGTCCAGCACATTAGATAAAAACCATTTACAGTCAAAAATAAATTCATAGATCAAAAGAGTGTGCCATTAGTGAAAAGCTTAAGTAACAAATCGTCAACCAGGATATCTGGGGTACTTAGAATCAGTCATAACAAAGGAGAACACTGCATACCATTGGTTGTTGGTGAAGCCTCAGGAGGTATTTTAGAAGCAAGTGCAAACAATGTTGTAAAATATACTGCGCAAATAACATTATCTGCAGCTAGTCCTGCAGCTAAAACTGAAGGAGAAACGCCAAGGGCTTTCGAAACAGCAACATAATTGACAGCTACATGAATATAGAAATGGAAACTTCATCAGTTAGGCAGAAAATACTGGAACTTCAAAATTTTCATATTAGATTCTATTATTAGAAAACAATACCTAGCCAGGGAACAGCTAGTGTAAAGGAGCAAGACTAACTTGATGTCATGGTTCAAATCACAGGGAAAATTAAAAAATAGGTTATAAATTCCAAATAAACAAAATATATTTATTTATAGCAAATTAAGAATTTAGGAGATGAAGAAGTTAAATAATATCCTTCACCAAAAATTGTCTCAAAAATTATAAATTAAGTTCCTGCAATAAGATAAATTTCTCTTTCTTGTCTTCCTTTATTTTAGATTATTTTCTCTAATTAGTTTTATTATTTCACGTCATCTGTTTTAAAGTGCATATTTTCCAGTTCTACTTTTTTACATGTTCTTGCATGTCTTATTAATTTACATTTGCATGGCCTGAAATCCAATGTACGTTCTCTCTATTTCGCTTTGCATGCTTGGTGGAGTGTGATTGCTATGTGTGATTTATTTGATTATTTTTGTTTTATCTTATTATTATATTATTATAAGATATGAATTATATTATGTAATTATGTACAGTCCACATAAAACGAGTGATGAGTAGAGGCCACTGGACTTCGGATTACATTCTCTTTATTTCGCTTTGCATGCTTGGTGAAGTGTGATTGTCATGTGTGATTTTATTTGATTTTTTTTTTTTTTATCTTATTATTATATTTTTATAAGATATGAATTATATTTTGTAATTATGTACAGTCCACATAAAACTAGTGATGAGTAGAGTCGGTGGCTCGGATGATGAGTAGAGGCCTACCTTTGGCAGGGCGGGATAAGGTGCTTAAGGTGATTGGCCCCATCCTACTTCATATCATAATCCAAACCCAGTTCTTAGGTGATCACAAATCCTTTCCATTGGAATTGAGAGGGTTCCCATAACTAAGTAGCGATTATATCTAAATGAGGACCATTTCTCGTATGGCCATCTAAGGGTATTCGGTTTATCACCTGCTCACTTCATGGGATTTCGATTTAGATCCATAATCGATGTGGACTTTTCAGTTGTGGGCTTTCAATATAATTTGACCAGGTGATCTATATAAGAGGTCGAAATGGTAATGGATTTCCCATTGTGGACTTTTCAATTAAGTGGGGTACATGAACTGCTTTAGAGTAACAACCCTGCATGCAGACCCACACATCAGCAATTCACAAGTATTCCCTACAAATTACCTCCACCAATATGTCTACCCATGAGTGCAGCTGCTATCTTCCAACTGTCCTGACCTAGTGATCGCATTGGAACCATCAGAAATGCCACCACAGTTCCAATAGTCGTTGCAACTGTCCAAAAACAGAAGAACAAAGGGATGTCAAAGAATTCCAGAGTGATAATGTAGCTATGCAGCAAAAAGAGAGAAGACGCTAAAAAAGAAAATTAAAAGTGAAATTTTCATATACTAAAGAATATTAATTAATTTTATAGGCTATGCCCATACTTGACAAAAAAAGACAACACTAATTATAAAGTAATTGTTAAAATAAGGCAATCATCTTGCACCATATCATACAACAATCACTAAGGAATTCAACCATGGCATCTTCTATGGTGTTTGACTAACAGGCCTAACGAAGAAATACAGAGTTCAACCATTAAAGAACAACACATAAAAATGGACTCATAAAAAGAAACAGCTTTCTTTTGACAAAATATGATAGAATATAGTTCCTCCCTTTAGATTGGAAATTGCTTCTTTCTCCTGCCAACTTAGTTGTATTTTGGAAAGAAGGGGAAACTACTCAACCATAACCATTGAGCCATACCAAGCTACACTTCCTTTAAAAAAATATAATAGAGGCAATCTAAAGACCTCCCAGAGTTATTCGACAAAAGACATGTTAAAAACAGAGATGCAATTACCCTAATAAGAAGGGTGATGACCTCTCCCTTATCCACAAAATCTGAAAGTCTTGACAAATAGATAGAGATCCTAAACATCAAGAGCATCCATTGAACTGATAATGATCTTCATGGCATCTAAGAAAGGATAAACTAATTAATTAATTAAAAGAGAGAGAGAGAACTTCGTCAAGTGATGTACAACTATACTGCAAGGGCTTAGGTATATGTGTTGGATGTCAGAACTTGAAGTGTCATACTCATATTCTAGGACACAAATGACTGCCTAAATAGTTAGTGTCATACTGTTCTTCCGTGTATACCAAGGTGGAAGTATGCGACATTTCATGTCTCACATGTGTATTTTACTTGCTTATTCTTTTTTCTTATTTTCCCTAGTTGGTACTCACACACACATGCCTCCACTGAGGCTTGAACCCCTGACCTCCCTTTGAAAAGTAAGGGCTTGGTACCGCTAGGCTACTGGCCTATTGGTTTACTTGCTTGTTCATGCAAGAAAGGTGAATATTGAGAAGATATAACCAGGAAGTATTGGTGAAGTAGGAACTTTCCCCCTTCTTCTGGTATCAAGTATCTTATTGAGTACATATCCAAGGACACATCGAGACCCAGTACTCATGTTTATGGTATGTGTTTGGTACAAGGGCGTCCCAAGTGTAAAGAGTCCCTACCACATATATAAGGGGAAAAAAATTGCATTACCCAGTGTATATATCGTCTAGGCGGGGTGTGGGAGGAACATATTGGAGACAAATCCAAACTTTGGCATTAGTTTGTACAAAGTGACATCTCTCAAACTTGAGCCCATGACCTCACCTTCATCAATCTGAGATTTTACTATTGCACCAGACAATGACCACAAGTGTCCATGCTACATATATGCACAAAATAAAGAAATTAATACAATTTATAATGGCTTGGTAAGAAATATTTCAAATTAACGAAATCAATTTTTAACTGTAGCTTAGGAGTAATAGAGAACAATAGGCTCTTTTAGAAATGAAAATGTGAAAACAATACCAAGCTAGATCGTCTAGATAGAATTCATATGTCTCACCCACCGAGTAAAACTTTAATAAAATAGTAAACACAGAAAGAAGCAAAAAGAATACCTGATTTAACTCCGAGGCTAACTACAGATTTTGATAAAAAGACTTGAGCTTTTGCTCTTCCATTAAGGTCCATCGTGCATTAAATTCAGAAGAAACATCATATTATATCTCTAACTCATTTTTCTTCTCCTCGTGATCTTTCAATAGTTCGTCAATACTTTGTGTTAAAAAAAGAGAAGCCATTGCTCAAGAGCACTCCAAAATAAAAACAAGAAGTCAACTAACATCCATTTTTTTCCACTTTTTCAAATAGAATGCCCCATCTTCCAAGTATGAAAAAAAACCACATTCTCAATTGCAGAAGCAAAAAAAAACACAATGCATCAGAAGCAATAATATGAGTATATAACGGAAGAAATTCCAATATCAACAAGTATTACCAGATCCAAGCAAGAAAGCCAAGAGCAGTGTCCCGGTTGACTGTACCACCCGACGCAAGTCCGCTCTGAACAACAGCAATGGCACAGCCATCGGAAGCAGAAACTCAAATACAACAGAATATGCTGGCGCTTCACTAGAAATAATCCCCAAATTACTCGCTGCAAGTCCGATCAAAATGCTAACCAATGCACCGCTCAATGTGCTTCCAATTTTGGTCTTCTCGGACCTAATCACATGATCAATTATTAATCAGAAAAAGCAAATCCCAATCCTCTGTTTTTAAAGTTATGCCTTGCAGAAAGAAAAAAGAAAAAAATGTAAAATTCAAAAATTAGTTTGATTGACAGTTTTCTGTTTAAAAATGGCCTAAATTCAGCGAACAATCTTCTGTAGTTCCCTCGACCCCGTTTTTCATTTTGAAATAACTGAACCAAACGGGCCAATATCTTGTTTTTGCAACATTTCTCAGGAAACAAACAGAACATAACACGTTTCCAAGAAGTAGAAGAGAGCATGAAACATAAGCTTTTATTTTCTTTAATTTTTGGCTCGGTAGATCAGGTTTCTTAGCAGTCAAACATTGATCTACTCAGTGTGTGTATGTGTGTATTATAGTGAGAGAGGAGGGGTTACTAACCAGATACCGAGAGCTCCGGTAGCGAAGAGAGCAGTCCAGGTGCCCCATTGATCGTTTGGAGAAATGAGAGGGGAATTCAAATGGGATCTAACCGTTACAGATCGAGTAGGTTTATTGGGGAGAACAAGAGGTGAGATTAGAGGTCGATCGCTGTTATAGGATGATTTTGAATCAAGAAGTTTCAAATTAGCTGTGGAGTCACTTTGACGGGAACGGATGTATGACTGTGTCGCCGCCGCTGGCGGCGGCGGCAGAAACAGAAACGACGACGCCAGTGTGTGTGTGAGAGAGAGATATATGACTGCTTACTTGGAAGTCGGAGACAGCCGGTAAAGGCTATGCTCCGGTCAACAAAAAGTGAACTACTCATCCAATCACAGGTCGCCACTTTGCTAACGTTTAGTGATGTCTAGTCACGGTTAATGAAATGTAAAATGACGTTCCAGACCATGACCTAAGGAATCAAATGGTCGAGATTTAAAGTGGGAATTATTATTTCTTCGAGACGAAAATTCATTGACCCGCAATCGCGTTTAACGACCACCACCATTGTTCCGTATTTCAAAAATTGAATAAGCACGACCTTCAATAATAGAGTCTCAAATAAAAAATATATATTACTTAATCCTGTTAATTCTGTCATGAAAATAATAAAAAATTTCTAAATTTAGGTTTTCTGGATCTCCATACCTCAATACTAAGATTGAAATAAAAAAAATCTTCAAATTCTGGCAATTTATTGGCTCTAGATATAGAAGTACTTGCGTTTAATAGTTGTGTTCCGATTTTGGAGAATGAACTGTAATGATGAAGATGATGTGGATATGTCACTGATGATGTAGATATGGCGGTAATGGTTGAGATTGCAAGGACGATGGAAGAGATTAAGGAGAGAGAGATTGTATAAAGGTATTGGTTAATTATGGTAAATTAACTATGGTTAGGTCTGATAAGGTAATAAAGTGTAATTTTCTAAATTGACTTGGTTAGTTGAAAAGTCCGTTATTTTGGACAGCATGAGAGCCTTCCTGTATATATATATATATCATTCACTGCAATAGAATTCTTCAAGAAATATATTTTATAGAAAGAATAATTTTCAACAAAAAAAAAATAATACTGCATAGAGGAATAGATATAGAAAGAAAAATGGTGAAGTAAAAGACAATGAAATAGTAATTTTATCTAAAATTATTTAGTGTATTTAATATGTTATTTAAAATTGGTTTATTACAAAGTCAAACTATTATTTTAAGGAAGGTAAAAAATAAACAAAATTTATAAATGGGTGGGGGTTGAAGTATATATAAATGGGTGAATTTAACGTTATCCAACAATTTGAGTTTTGGATAAATGGTTAAGCACTTATCCAGTTGATATCAGAGTCAAACTCATCTTTAATTCGGTATCACGTAAACACATTCGAGTTTGGCCCCGGACAGGCAGGGTGGTCCGCTCACAATAAGAGCATTGCGCTGATTCGAATGGAAGAAAATGATACAAGTGAAATATGTCTTGTATTAAATTTGGATGGGTTTTGAATTGTGTATAAATGAGTGGGCAATGAAAAATCAATTATTGAAGTTGTTCGCGCGGTTTTTGTTCCCTACGCCGGTCGATGGACTCTTCGCGGGCGTGCCAGAGTATTTGTACAAAATACCCAAAATATGTAATTGAACACCAGCCTATCCTTTTTTTCGATGGCTGACTCTCAGGCGATTGTGTGGGAGAGAGACTAGTAAGAACTCCCAGCAAGGTTCTTTTATGCCTTATTTGTAGTAAGGACTTTTTAGAGTGTCTAAAGAAATGCAACAGTTGATGAATGTTTGAATGGATGGAATGGCCGAGTGAAGACAGATGGCGAGAACTTAATCAATCGCCATCAGCCAAACACAATGGCAAGAATTTAATCGATCGCCACCAGCCAAACACAATGGCAAGAATTTAATCGATCGCCACCAGCCAAACACAATGGCAATAATTTAATCGATCGCCACTGAAACGTGATAGCAAGAATTTAATCAATTGCCATCAGCCAAGTAATGACAAGAATTTAATCAATTGTCACTACGATTCAATGGCAAGAATTTAATCAATTGCCATTGAATTGAAAGCCTAACTAAAATTGTGTAATTAAAATTGGCATAATTGAAATTGAAAGAAAGTAAATGGCTGAATCGAAATAGTTAACGAGGATCTAATCAATTGCCATTAAATTGAAATAAAGAAATTGATAGAAAAATGACGTAGAGTCAATTGAAAACATTTTTAGTTGAAATGCATGTTTTGTGATGGTGCTGGACCATTGGAATAGGATTACATCTTTCCTACTTATAGAATTCTTTCTCAACTTATTTTCCTAACTTCTTGCCAGAAAATCTCTCATTCCCTTGATTTTCTTCACTTTGTTATTCAAACTAGGTCAAAACCCAGTATTCTTTTGCTTCTTATCTCGTCTTGCTCCTTGTTTCAATAAGAAAATCCTTACTGGAAACTCTCTTTGATCTAGTCAAATGTAAGTTGCTAGAATGTTGCTGAAAAGTTGCTAAGTTCTAGCAACTTCCTTTTATAAACTTGGCAGCTGTGTTCTATCCCAAGTGGCCCATCCTTTAGCGCCATGTCAAGGCCACTTGTCACAATTAGATTTATTCACTTCATATCTCCAAAGCTTTCCTTCTATACATGTCTCCAAAGTTTTCCTTCTTTCATCCAACTAAACTTCCTATTTTATAGGAATTTAGTTATTGAGTTTTATCCAAACTCTAGCCTTTTCATTTTCTATTAACAGCCTATTTTGAAAAAATTCAAATGTGAGTTGCTATATTTTAGCAACTACCATATCCATTAGGTGGCTGAAATATATCTTCCTATATTTGCTCCTAATATTTTTAAACTGGCCGATCCCCTTGACTCTATATTAGAAATACCTATTTGCTTCTTATTGGTCCACGTCATCGTTGAGATGGCTGCCAAGTTTTGGTGCCAACAAATGCCCCCCAAATTTCAAATGTCTTATCGGCCACTCAGGCTGATAAGATTTTTGGAATTTTTGTAACATGAAATAAACTGGCAGCCAGCGAGCTTCTAGACTTTATTTCTTTCGAACCACCTTTAAGTTGGTCTTTATTTTGCGTCAGCCAGGACTAGTCGATCCTAGTTCTTCTGTTGTTCCCACAAAGTTAGCTGATACCTCTCAAAATATTGGCCATTTATAAACCCATGATAGACCTCACCATTGAAGTTTCCCAACTCTACTAGTAAGGCATAATCGTGATCGGCCAGGATCAGGTTGTTATGTAATGTCATTTGGGCCGATCTAATTAGCTTCTCTATTGAAAAAAACAAAATTCTGCCAGTATGGAGCTTTTTTTATGGCTGATCCTCTTGAATTTTTATACCCCCAAGGAACTTCTGAAAGTATGTCATCCCAAGTTTTTGAATAGTCATCTTCTTTAATGACTTCAACTATATTAGCCAAAAATACTAAGAATTGAATTTCTTTTATGGCCAATTTTTATCTACCGGGTAAGCTTTTAGAATGTCAGCGGCCATGATGGCCAGACTTCTCCTTGATTCTTTATTTGGCACCTCAACAGTTGGCCGATAAAGCATTATCCTCGGCCAAAATACCTTTCTGGTTAACCCATCAGCCAGACTTCTTTTCATAATGGCCGATGTTGATCGCCCCATTTTATTCGTTCTTTTGAACAAAATAAAATTCTCTTCATGTAGCACTGCATTGGCCATGCAAAATTTTGCATTAATTGGCCGATTCATTTTCTTCCTCGAATTTCTTCTCCACTTAACCCTTTTTAGTTTCCATCCCCGCTTTCTTTTCTTGAAATTCGGTTGAGGATGACGAACTAAAAGGATTCTCTCTGCAAATGATGGTTCTGGCTGAGTATTAGATACCACTCTCGGCCAAGCATTCTGGTAATCTTGCCGATTTAATCTTGAAATTCTTTTACCTTAGTTAATACGTTTCCATTCAGGGCAGCAACCGTGTTGTATGAGAGCCTTGACATTTGGAATGGCTGATGGTGTCCTCTCGGCAACCTTAGGCTGATTCCTTTCATCAACCTTCCCTTTGGGAGCTATGATATGATCCAAAGCATCCCTTCTAACTTCATCCAAATCTTCCAATTCTACTAACATTGCTTGAGTATAATCAGCTGGAGTTAGATTATTTTGAAAAGCAACTCTGGCTGATTTAACCTTCATTTCCATAGGCAGAACAGCATCATGACCATAAGTTAACATGTATGGTGTAACTCCTGTGCCTGTTCTTTTTGAGTTCCTATAGGCCCATAAAGCTTCAGATAAAGTCTCATGCCACCTTCTTGGCTTATCTTTGATCATTTTCTCAATGATCTCTATTAAAATTTTGTTTGAAGATTCGGCCTGGCCATTTGCTTGAGCATAGTATGGCGTAGAGGCTGACATATGAATATTCATGTTGTGACCGAATTGTAGTACATCAGTTGCCCTAAATACTGTTGCATAGTCTGAAACAAGTGTTTCTGGAATCCCAAATCTGTGGATGATGTTTTGTTCCATGAAATTAATTACTATTTGCTGATCAACCGCTTTGCAAGCCTTGGCCTCAACCTATTTAGTAAAATAATCTGTGGCAACAATCACCCAGTGATGGCCTTCGCTTGATGGTAGATTAATTTTACCAATAAGGTCAAGGCCCCAACCTCTGAATGGCCAAAGTTTGATTATTGGCTGTAATTCTTTTGCTGGTACATTTTGAATCGGCCCGTGTCTTTGACAAGCTTGACAACCTTTTGAGTAATCTATGCAATCTTTCCTCATCCTCGGCTAATAATATCCATACCTGCGAATCAGCCATCTCATTTTTATCCCAGCTTGGTGAGCCCCACAGCTGCCCTCATGTACCTCGGCCATAACCTGAAGTGATTCCTCCTTGCTTATGCATTGTAGTAGGAGCCCATCTTCTAACCCTTTTCTGTATAGATCCCCATCTAGAAGCACAAAGTTGATCGCTTTTCTTTTAATACTTCTATCAGCCTTGATGTTTGGATTTCGAAGAAACATTATAAATGGTATCCTCCAGTCATCGTCGGCCAAATCTTCTACATCAATTATGTAATACCCCTAATTTTCAAAAGGATATAATGGAAATTTAATAAATTATTTATGTGCATTTTAAATTGATAAATTGATTATTTGTTTTGTGTGCATTTAAATGTGATTATCTGGCTAAGTGGTTAATTGTTTTACTTGTTTAAAATTGGTATTGTGTATTTGTTTTATGTTGTTTATTTATTTTAACTTAATT